TTCTTCAACTGTATTGAGTGAATGATTTCGAGGGTGTGAAGATAAATTCGAATTTAACTAGCAAAGACACCTACCATTTGTGTTAACAAAACTCTGTCAACGCCTTAACGCAGCTCTGTTAAATAATTACAATTGAAATATAGTTAGATTTGAAAGCCTACTCCGTCCATATTAAAAAAAGGAAAATATTTTTGTAGACATTTTATGAATCCATATAAAACTACCTTTCAAACGAACTAAAAAAATTCAAATTCTGCATATGGGAGCTATTTTTAACGGTGTTTTGATATTTGGAATGCTAACCAAATATGGATATGGTATAGCGGCCAAATTTGAGACTCTAGTGCGGCCAAATTAGAAAATGTCACCTATATTCACCTATGTCACGTGAATCTATATAAAAGTACCTGTCGAAGGGGCAAGAAAATTCAGACTTCTTTTTCCGGAATTATTTTTAACAATTTTTTGAAATTTGGTATGTTAGCGAAAAATGGGTGTAGTATAGTACTAATATAGTATAGTGCAGTATTTTAAGGTATATCACGTTATACAGTATATACTATACCCTAGCATAGTATAATATATACTAGTACAAAATACACTATACTGTAGTACAATATATTCCAGTACAAAATACACCATACTGTAGTATAGTTAATTCCAGTACAAAATACACTGTATTGTAGTATAGTAAATTCTAGTACAAAATACACCATACTGTAGTACAATATATTCCAGTACAAAATACACTATACTGTAGTACAATATTTACCAGTACAAAATACGCTACACACACTGTAGTACCATATATTCCAGTACAAAATGCGCTATAGTGTAGTATAGTAAATTCTAGTACAAAATACACTATACTGTAGTACAATATATTCCAGTACAAAATACGCTACACACACTGTAGTACCATATATTCCAGTACAAAATACACTGTACTGTAGTATAGTAAATTCTAGTACAAAATACGCCGTACTGTAGTACAATATATTCCAGTACGAAATATACTATACTGTGGTATAGTAAATTCTAGTACAAAATACACTATACTGTAGTATAGTAAATTCTAGTACAAAATACACTATACTGTAGTACATTATATCCCAGTACAAAATACACTATACTGTAGTACAATATATTCCAGTACAAAATACACTACACACACTGTAGTACCATATATTCCAGTACAAAATACACTATAGTGTAGTATAGTAAATTCTAGTACAAAATACACTATACTGTAATACAATATATTCCAGTACAAAATACACTACACACACTGTAGTACCATATATTCCAGTACAAAATGGACTATACTGTAGTATAGTAAATTCCAGTACAAAATACACTATACTGTAGTATAGTAAATTCTAGTACAAAATACGCTATACTGTAGTACAATATATTCTAGTACAAAATACACTACACACACTGTAGTACCATATATTCCAGTACAAAATACACTGTGCTGTAGTATAGTAAATTCTAGTACAAAATACGCCGTACTGTAGTACAATATATTCCAGTACAAAATATACTATGCTGTGGTATAGTAAATTCTAGTACAAAATACACTATACTGTAGTATCGCAAATTCTAGTACAAAACACACTATACTGTAGTACAATATATTCCAGTACAAAACAAACTATACTGTGGTATAGTAAATTCTAGTACAAAATACACTATAGTGTAGTATAGTAAATTTTAGAATATATGTATTACATATAATATATTTGTATTAAAGTATAGTGTATTTTGTACTAGTACATATTGTACTATGCTAGAGTATAGTATATATACTGTATAATGTGATATACCTTAAACTACTGTACTTTACTATACTAGTACCATACTATACCATACTATACTACACCCATTTTTCGCTAACATACCAAATTTCAAAAAATTGTTAAAAATAATTCCGGAAAGAGAAGTCGGAATTTTCTTGCCCATTCGACAGGTACTTTAGAATATAGAATAGGTCCCGAAAGAAAAGTTTTAATTTTTTCTGCTCATTCGACAGGTACTTTTATATAGATTTACGTGATATAGATGAATATAGGTGACATTTACTACTTTGGCCGCACTAGAGTCTTAAATTTGAGTGTTCTTTTATACCCATTTTTCGCTTATATACTGAATTTCAAAAAATCATTAAAAATAGTTCTCATAAGCAGAATTTGTATTTGTTTGGTTTGTTTGAAAGGCATTTTTATATAGATGTCCACCAAAAATATTTTCGTAGTTTAATATGGACGGAGTACACTTTCAAATCCAACTTTATCTTAATTTTGAATATTTAGCAAAGCTCTGTTAAACCGTTTATAGAGTTTTGTTTACAGATATGGTAGGTGTCTTTGCTAGTTAAATTCGAATTTATCTTCACATGCTTAATGATTTCAACGAATTTCGCTTTCATGGTTCACTCACTTTATGCACAAAAGCAAACTTTGAACCCAAGAAAAGAAAGATTAAGAAGTCCAAAAACCAATCATAAGCATATTACCTATTACTGAGACTGAGTAGTTTAAAACTTTATACAGTCACTCATGCAGTCAATCCGTTCGTTTCCCTACAAGTTGCATAATCTAACACTTAATCCTTTAAACGATACCATTCTATTCCGATCTGCGGAAAAAACAAGAAATATTTTTCACAATCATCACTGAAGATGGTGCAGCGGCGCTTAACCTGAACAATTATTCAAATAGTCTAAAAATTATGATTAACAGATCAAAGCAAATCGCATCTTGGTGACTAGAGTGCTCATAAGAGAAAAGAGAAAAAAGCGCAGAACGCTTTCGAACTTTATGTCACCTCATGGAGAGCATTTTCTCCGTTCATAACGAAATAAAAAATATTCGTTATTTCGGTAGACTTTCATTTTTTAAACTTCCTATCATTTTCTATTGTTGAGGAATACTTTCTAAAAGCAACTGCACAAATTTCAATTGATACTGATTGTATGTGACTGCGCTTAGGAAAACATAAGCGAGTTAGAAAAGGATTTCTATAACGAATGATTGACACACAGCCGATCGAGTGATTAATGTACGTCTTCAAAGGAAACGAACAAGCGATTATTACATAAAGAAATCCGTCTGAATGGCCGAGTGGGCAAAGAGTCTCGACTAGCAACTCTATGCTCGTAGATTGAAATCTCAAAATACTAGTGCTTGAAGACTTCAGTCTTACAATTTATTCTTTGGCTAAACTATTTTCCATTTTTAGTCTTTTTTTTCTTTTTTGATCTAGTTAAGGGGTAATCTTATTTTACTACATAGCTTAAAAAGGACAAGCAGTAAGCCTGTATTATGTTAGGTATAGAAATTTTCAAAGTCCCATTAAAAAATTCTTCGGGCAAAACTTAATATAAATTGCACATCGTTGGAAAGGCGATTAATAGAGGATTCACTCTGTGATAGTTTCATTTTTTCAAGGGGCATAGTTTCGCCACAGTAGCTCCGCAAACTTTCGCTTTATCAAACTCATTTATGGCATAGTGTAAAAAAGTTTTAATTTCGAATATTAGTTAATTTACATAAAGTCATGTTTTGTTTATAATAATTTGCAAAAAAATTCTCGAAAATTTCTATTTTACTTCTATTTAGAGTTAAATCCCTCCGAGACTTCGTTCAACAAAGTTCTGTTAACGTCTTAACAGAGCTCTGTAAACAAATTTTGGCTCGTGCCTTTGCTAGTTATATTTAAATATCACTTCACACCCTTACTAAATTGAGACCACGACAGCTCCGGTATTTCGTCGTATCTGATATTTAAAAGCTCAAGTGTAAGGCATCAGTTTTTTATGTTTTATCATGAAAAAAGTGAAGAATTATTATACTAGACAAAGTCTTGTAAGTTATTTGAGAGTTGACTTTGCCCCACTGTAATAATGCTTTTACTTCTTTTTTGTCTTCTAAAAACCGGAGAAAGGAGAGTGAAAATGGATGAAATAAAGGGAAAGTTTCGATATTCCACAATACCGCGTGAACTCGGTAAATTTTTTTCCATTTTTCTACAGGCACATTACCATTGTCTACAGAAAAGTATTGTGTGGGCAACTTTCGAAAACAGAAGTTTCGAATGCATTTGCTGCGTTTCAAATTTGAAAGCAGTATGTTAATGTTTGCAATCGGGACAATGTTTATCACAGATATTACACAGACAAGCATACGGACGGATCGATAAACAAACAAATATGCCTATATTGATTCAGAATGATGATGCTGATTAAGAATATACATACTTTATAGATCTTGTGAGCGTTGCAAAGGTTTAGACAAATGAGTAAAGCCGCATTCATCGTTGATGTATATAAAAATGATTACATAGAAAAATTATTAAATCGCGCAAATATATGCACACGCACAGGCATATATATACGTGCATACACACACACACACACACACAAATATGTATACATATATATATATATATATATGTATACATGTATTCGATTCTATATATATATATATATATATATATATGTATATCTACATGTATATATAAAAATTTTTCTATTTATATAGCGCAACAATAATAGCAAATGCGATTGTACAGATGTTCAATTCTTATCTCTAAAGTAACTGCGTGCTCGTATAATTTTTACAAAAAAAAAATTTACATTTGACAAGAGGCCAAAAAGAAATACCAAATAGACAACTTTGCCACGCCCTCTATTTGTTTTATTAAGAGATTATTTCATGTACAGATTTGGCAGAGAGCCGAACTGAAAAAAAATGAAAGAAGAAATCTTTTTACAACACCTGCAGCGTTATAGCAATCCACGAAACAAAATGCTTGTACCATTGTTTCAAATCAATGATTTTCTACACATACACATAATTACAAGACAAGAACACTTGCACTTGAAAACTAGCACGATATAAACATTCATATATGTATATTATATATATATATATATATATATATATATATATATATATAAACAACAATATCAATAATAATTAACATTAATTACTCACCTCTAAAATTTGTTGATCTAAATCTACTGGTGATGCTTGTAAACGACTAAAATCCAGTGTGCCCGGTGTTGTTATATGCAATCTATCGCTTGCAGTAGCAGTGGAATCACGCGAAATATCTAAAAACCACAGAAAAAGAAATTATGAATGAATGAATGAGAAATAAATTTAGCCTTTTGTATATAAATTTATATGCCATGTATATTTATATATATATATATATATTATATAAATATATATAATATAAAAAAATGTAAAACAAAAATAGTATTAAAATGATAAAAAACAACAACAACAAAGCTTTTGTAAAGAAAGAGGAAATTAATGTAAACACATTTATTATTACTAATATATACATACATAGATAAACGTATGTATATGAATGCCTGAGTAAATGCGTTATCATAACAATATATCTATCTATTAGGTTACAAACTTTTAACTAAACGAAATTCCAATGCATTCATTAGCTTGGATTTGCCATCTCTACGGGACATTTGAAGTCTTTAGGAATTATTTCTTGCATTTAAAAAATTATGCTCAGAAATTCCCTGTTTCCTCTTAGTCAATTTAATATATTTGTTTCATTTTTTTTTTTTGCCGACTGCACTACCTAAGGCAAAGAAATGAAAGTCAAAAATTTCAAGATATTTCCACATTTTACATAATACAAATATTATATTGAGATTGTTTAAAATTTTCAAAATTTATGGACTCATATTTGACTCATTCGATTTATAAATTACAAGTCAATGTTTTCTTTACACCATCTACTTTATTATATTGAAAAAGAAGAAGAAGAGAAATGGTTTCCAAAGCGATTTTTTTTTTTACACATATCGCATGCATTATTCGTTAATGCATAACTCACCGTACACATATCGCATACATTATTATGCATCGATGGATTTCAATAAAATATATATACTTGCTCTGGATTAGTATAAAATTTTTCATGTACTTTAACTAGTCATTAGTCCGAGTTCTTTATAATCTGAAAAATCGAACAAGTAAAAAATTTATAACTAGCTATGGATGAACCTTTTACATCCAGCACATCTTTTTAAACGAGAATTAAAGAAAAACAAAAACAAAGAAGTGAGAAAATTTATTTGCTGTAGCTGATGAATATAATGAGCAAAAATCCAAGTTTTTGCTCCTTTTGTGAAACAGAGAGATCTTCTTAGTTTACGTAGCACGATGGGCATATCCTTAAAATGATTTGTCCCATATTCAATAGCAACCTAGATGCAAGAAGTTCCAATATTTCTGTCACACTTGAAGTCGATAACTTGATTTTTACGGCCAGGAAAATGCTTAGAGCGGATATTACATAGGCAGGCAGACGGATGTGCTTAAACCGATTTAGAACTTGATGCTGGGATCTCTGAAGCATCCTACCGGACGTTGCAAACATTATAACAAAATGAATATACCGCTCATCTCTCACGGTCATGGATGTAAAAAAAAAAACTAAATTTCGAAACTCTCTAATATTGGATGGACGTGAAATACGCGAAAAATTTTTATCACCAAATCTGATATGGTTTATATATAATTAGGAGTAAAGAATCCGATTTTTTGCTTTTAAAAGAAAGGAGTTTTTCTTAATGTACTTTGTACTGTGAGCGTGTCCTTTCGCCGATTTCTGCGAGCACTTCGAATGCTTTGCCAAATTTTAAGTTGATATTTCAAGTTTTGCGATCAAGAGAATATACACGAGCAAGCGGACAGACTTACGTAAATTGATTCAAAATTCAATATTGATTAGCCATAAAATGTTATATAGGGCGTCGGAAGCTTTCTTATGCAAACATATCTCGGTGTTGGATATGAAGAAGAAAGCTAATGTTTACATATTAACAGCAACAGATTGAATTGAGAAAGGATCGATGAAGAAGAAGAACAAGTGTATATGTGTACTTTATAGAATTTCCAGTTCGCCTATATAATCGTTTAATCTATGCTTTGCGATGGGGTTACATTAAATGAAAAAATTTCTTGCAAAATTGATTAATTGAAATTATAAATTACTTTACTCAGATCACACTATTAATAGATATTTGTTTTTGTATATTAGATGTGTGATCTTCTAGTCAAATTAAACTAGTATTATAAATTAATGTCCACCGCCAGGTACTACGTGTCCCATAAGAACGCATGTACCATTCGAACAAAGGAAAAGTCATCTATTGAAACCCACGGTAATCGGAAGGAATGATGTCTGTCATTAACAACGAGAGAAGTAGCACATGTGAGGTTAGTAATGCTAACGTGTCCTGACCGGGTTTTGTTATATAATCGAACGAATCTCATTTTAGGCTGAGAACTTGGAACATCACTAATTCCTTAGTGACGGATTTTGCTTGGTTCGAGTAAAACATAATGCACCGCGCACTTAATGTTGGATCTGAACAGAATATACGTCTAACGGTGCCGTATCTTTTTTAATATTACAAACCCCCAGATATCTTCTATGTAGACATGTAGGTAGGCTGATGGCAAAAAAAACTATATTGATAAAGAGCTGAGGAAAAAGTGAATAGAGTTTGCCTATATGTCAAATTGTTTGAATGGCTGGAAAGTCACTATAGATGGAGCAGCGATATTAGATATAGAGATAGACGAGTGAATGAGATGATTGAGAAAGAATTTCATTGTTGGACCAATTCCTTTTATATTTGCAGAGATCTTTTACCCATTAATATATCCACACATACTCCATTTTCCGCCACAACAATAATCAAGGGTACCGAGGCTGTTAGATCAATTTTCATCATTCTAACCATTAGAGCATTTCGCTATACGTAATTGAGAACCTTCAGGCAAGTTCTGCCAGCTTACGCCCATAAGCTAGGGAAGTTTGCTCTAATTATTGCAGCATGTAACGAAGCATTTCATTGTCTAAATAAACCTAAGCACTTGGTCGCTTGCACACTTTCAATATGTATTCTATCCGCGGAACGTCATTTTGCATTTTCATGCCAAGAATGTCAAAAGCTGTCAATTCGTCTGCATCGATTATCATCAAAGGAAAAGAAATGATGACCAACGCGCACCATTTCTTTTATGCGATAAGAGACAGTACTATTGTTAAACTGGTCAAACTGGTGATTTATGACAATCTTTGCAAAAGCTGTCAAGGATCAAAAAAAATTGAAATATTCAAAGGCATATAAAGAATTGCGCCCTTGCTTAAATAGCCTAAGAAACCTCTACATCACTGATATTAATAAAAGCGGCGGCATTTTAAATGCATAAAGAATAAAGAAATTTTGCAAAGAACAAGAAGTAAGTCTTGCTACGAGCCATACTCTTTAGTAGTATGTAATCTTATGTAAGCGTTCATTTTAAATGTCGACAAATTTTACTTGAAATTGCTTACTATTTTTATTCATTGTTATTTATTCATTAATTCATCGGCAGAATGGAAATGACTTAAATGAAACTTACATAAAAAGCCGTTGTTTCAATAATAATTTCTCTAATATATATTTAAATGCCTATAGTTACAGTTACATTTATTTATTTATGTGTTTTATATATATGTAAAGCTATTACTCTTCTCTCTGCATCTGCAGCTATATTCATTAATACTCTTTTTATCATTTGAACATTTAAAATTTTGTTTCTTTTAAACTGTTACGCTCGCTCCCTCTCTCTTTCTCGCTCTTTCCCTCTCTTTTTACATATATTTTTACTTTTGTATATCTCTATCTCTCTATCTTCTTCTTCTTCTTCTTCTCTCTCTCTCTCTCTCTCTCTCTCGCTCTCCCTCTCCCTCTCCCTCTCCCTCTGCCTCTCTTTCTCACTCTCTCATTCTCTATCACTCCTCTCTTAATTGTATATGTATGCATTTAGTCTTGCCTTGTATTTGTTTAAACGATTTGGTTGGTTGCTTAGTTGGCTCTGAGCTTAAAGCATGTAGATGTAGCATTGTAGGCCGTGACCTGTTGTTCTATTATTAGCAGCATTTATAAATCGTGTGTATTTGTGTGCATACAGCTATTGAAATATATTTAGACTCAATAACAATAACAAAAACAACAAAAGTAACAGCAATAGAAATAATAATATAAACAAAAATAACAAAAAACACATTTGCAAAACATATAAAATGTATATATATATATATATATATACAAATGAAAGACAAACACATGCAGATAGATATTTAACAAATATAGGTAAGCACATTTTTATTTACCTATACTATCAACACTGGATATTAACATCAATGTAATTAAAGGCAAACGTTTTGTAATAAAATTTATAAACGAGAATAGCCATAATACTAAACATACACAAGTATACAAATATATATATTTATATATATATATATATATATATCTAAGCGTACGTAAATATATACATATATACACGCATATAAATACGTACTACTCACTCTGGCGCTAGTCTGTGAATATCTTGTTCAAGGGCCTGATAAGCATACACACACACACATACAAATTTATAGACAACGTACAAATGTACCTAATACACATTTTCTCTAATCCAACTTCTAGGAAGCAAATGCGAAATAAAAATTGCAACTATTTTTAGATCTAGTCATTCAGGTACATACACATACACATACACACACATATACATACACACACATACACGTGCACGCATATATTGCCGAACGTATTCGTGTAAATGTAAAGTTTATATTGTAGATGAAATATTACTTTTAGTTAAGCTAGCGATTGAACATTGAGCTATTTTTAAAGGGCGCGTGTGGTGAGCGTGTATGCGTGTATATGTTTATATGTGCACTGGATGGATGGATGGATGGATGGATGGATGGATGGATGAGTGTACGTGTATGGGATTGACAAGTTAGATGTTTTTTCTAAGTACGTAGTATATCCGTGATTTGAAACTATTAAATAACAAGTGTGTTTAGGGCAATTTAAAAATTTAGGTCGAATTTAAATTAAAGTACACATCGTTTATGACAGCCTTGAAAATGAAGTTTTACCTTTAAAACTTTCGCTTATATATAGATATTTATATACATATACATAAAATATAGAGAATTTTATCGTTAGAAAAGTTATGGCGGATTTTAAGTCTTGATTCATTTTTTTTTTTTTTTCGAACATTTGAAGCTTCGACTTAATTTGAATGCAATATTTGGGCGATTTCTTCGTATGGGCCTGTGATGAAAAGCAAAAAAAAAAAAAAAAACTGACTAATTTTAACTGCAAAGAAAGTGAGGTAGGGTTGGTAATGAGTAATCCGTTCCATCTTTGCGGGAATATACCGGGATATGGCGATTACTAAAATTATTCATGCTTTTTTTTTGTACTTTACACTTTCACTTAATACTTTCAAGTGAACAATTTATGGGCGTAAACCTTAAGCTAACGAATCGATTAAACATCGCTCTATAATAGTTGAAATTTTTATAATGAAAATACTTTAGATATTCATTAACGCCCAGATACTTGGATAAGAACTCCTTTATCATCATCATACTCTGCCTATAAAGTAATACTAATGAGGCGCGACAATTGAAATTATCAGCTTAGGTCGATGACGAAAATTGTTATCCAACGAATCCCATATTTCGACAAAAACTTTAAAGAGATATCCATTACATAACTATAATTCAAGGTTTTTAAACAAGTCTGAACAAGTCGTGGTTAACTATTCGGTTTTCACATAAACACTCACTAATGTTTTTTTTTTTTTTTTTATAAACGCATGAACGCTTGAACTTTAGATAGATGCTTTTGAAAGATGCAAAGTAGAGCGAAATAGTTTGCTTACTACAAATGAACTCACAAAACACTCTAGATTACGATTGAATTATTCACTTTTCACGACAATATGTGAAGCAATCATGGCGAATCCATGTAGGAGCAAAATGCTATGAAGATTTAAATAATCACAACTTAATATGGAAAGGAATTATTTCACAGATATATATGTGATAAAGATTGAAATAATCAAGTCGAATGAGTCGCAGAGTAGCAAACAAACGATTAATTTGATTGATTTGTTAACCAGAGACTATGCTTGGCATTGTTTTTCGCAAAAGCGAATATGTTCTTTCGAAGCCAAACAGAGCCTGTTGGCCTGATATCACCCCAGTAGATTTCCACCTGTTCCGTACTTTTCGAAATCTTTTGTATTCAATGTCTCTCCCATTGAGCGAGTACAGGGCAAGGCCTATGTAAAATCGCTGCCTTCCTTCGCGTTAAGCAGCCCGCTGCACTGCGCTGAACTCCATTTCAAGCAAGCGTAGCCACCACGAAACTTTCATAATGGACCATTCCCGAAATTTGTTTCGAAATCTCCTGACATTTCGTATTACTGGATTTTTTCTTTCTTGTCTAGATAGCACGTGCTATCTGCTTTATTCAAAATTTCTTCTGCAATTTCTTCCATTAACGATGTAATGAGTAAATGAAACACGCTGAACTAAGGTAGAATATTACCAATTAGTCGGATCGATCTTGAATCCTTTTATGAAGTAAATATGCAAATTCAGTACAATTGAGAAGTAATGAACGCAAGTTATCGTACATTTTTTGCGACATATATTACTTGTAACAATAAAATAAAAAGACATTTTTTATATCTACTTTAAATATTAATACAATAATTGAGTGAATAATTGTTGAACTACTGCAATAAATTTTGTATACTTTTATTTCTATAGTAAATGCTGTAAAATGAAAATTGTTTATTACATAATCGTGTTAAGAGATAAAGTGAAACGTGTTTTAAAAACGATCGTTAATATTAAACTGAGACTTTGGAAAGATTATTATTCTATTGAGGGATTTTTTTTTTTTTTTATTTTTATTTTTTTGTTATTATATTTTGTTTTTTAACTAATAATGGAAAAGAAAATATATGTGTATATATATTCACGCAGCAAAAATAATTGCTATCATTATTCCTGATCTTCACCCGTAATATTGGTATGATTTACCAAAAAACATTACAAAACAAAAAAAAAAAAAAAAAAAATCAAAAATTAAGGGGATTAAGTTAAAGAGACTTTTTGAGCAAATTTTTATGCTTACCGTTCGCAAGTGTATCGTTCTTCCTGTAGCGTCCAAAAATATACATCAGGGATCCTATGAAGTATATACGGATAACTTAAAAATACTTAACATAGACTTTGTGAACATTGTAAATAAATAATATAAACAATATATAATGAATCCGTTAAGAGTCTCACCTCACTTACAATTAAAAAAAAAGAAGCGGACCGCGTCCGCAAGAACAGTCACTTTAAGTAAAAGCAGACTAATTTTAAAAACCATAATGAGCCACGGGGAGCATTAAGTACCTTACATCCTACAATTATTCACATAACGACTATTCAAGATAAGACGTTATGTACGGGAAGTGCTCAAAAAAGTGGACGGATTCGAAACGTTTACCGCAGCGTTCGTCCTTAGGATGAAGACATGTCAGTGCATTAAACTTTATCAGAACATTTTAAAAATTGAAGAAGAAAACAAAAGGGACAGAGGGACCGACACAAGATTATACCTATTCTAAATCAACCGGTATAATAAAAGTTAAGTGTATCTCAAGTGTATCTCAAGACAAAATGGTATAGGGTGTAACAAGACTTGGATGCAATGTTTGAACGTTCACCGCATAAATTTCCCTATGACGGACTGGAAGGAATAAACGCTATTTTTAAAAAAATGTATAATATTTGTGGGGTAAGATATATATGTCAGATTAGGCTACGAGCCAATATTCGGGATGAGAGAAGTGAATAACGAAGAGATAGGTCGGGCGTGAAATGGGACTATGGCCTGCGGCCCACTATAGGATTTTTACTTATTTCTGTTTGATTACGAAATGTTTGAAAAGTTTTGAAACCGAATAAAACAAGAAAAACCGAACAAAATAAATTCCTTAATCTTACGATTTAATTCGCTTGGGCCCACAGATATCTATGTGCACAAACTCTAACACATCTCTTGATTTTACTTGTTTAAATTTTAAATAATATCTCTCAAAGATTTTCAATACATGTAATGCATCTGAAATATTTGTAAATTTGTACACAAGTCTGTCCTTCATGGCCTAATATTGATTCCTTTCCTTGTCTTTCGCTAACTTATAAAATACAATCGAAAGTAAACAATGCTTTTCCAAAATAACGCATTTTACAGTTGCCACCAATACCAAAAGGTATCTTCAATATTAAAAAAAAAAAAAAAAAAATATAAATGTAAAAGAAGTACAGATACTATAATGGGCCAAGGCCCACCATCAAACGCCCTACACCCGCCACCCTACAGTTATTCATGTGACGACTCTTTCAAGTAAAGCCTTATTTTAAAAGTGGTCGAGAATGTGTCCTTGAGCCAAAATATACCGATATTCGGATTTCTTCATAGTGCGCACGACGTAAACCCAGTCAGAAAGCGAATCGATCGGTCTAATCAAAGAAAAGTCCATTTCAAGTCCCTCTACGTATTACAGATATCCGGGCCCTTTTATCTCAAATGGTGTAGAATGTAACAAGACTTGGATGCAATCGTTTAACATTCATCGCATAAATGTTGATATCATAAAAACAAAACGGACTGACCGACGGGCTGGCGCGCGGACAAGCTTAGATCGATCCCGACTCCGACTCCGATTCTGAGTCAGAAAGTGATTCTGTTGCAGTACAATAAAAGGTTGAGTGTATCTGAAATCGTATTGGGTGTTGCATACATACGCATGAACGTGCTAAGCGTTTATACCGCAAGCGTTTTAATAGCTAAAGCGCCTTCACTGTCGGAAATTGTGATTTACATTTATAAAGAAAGAAACGAGCAGCAGCGAGAATGGCGTTATCTTGAGAGTTGTTTCTTCGTTTCCATTTGAAAACAAGTGATTACTAGATAACAAATAAACAAATGACGCGGTAGTTAGTTTTTTATAGATCGATTTGTGTTTGTGCACTTTTTCACAAAAAGAACTTTTAATCTTGCCGCAAAATTCAATCCATCACGTGAACATATATGCACACACTTAACGGTATGATTAACGATCTATATGACCACAATAAAAAACAAAAAAAAAAAAAAAAAACCAACAAAAAAAAAATGAATTAATAAAATTAAATTTTCATTTTTATTAAGAATCTTTAATGTTTAATATATTTATTATTTATTGCTGACTTGTCCTTGGTTATGGCAGGAAAACAAATTATCTACAAGAACACTTATAATATTTTAGTCTACTAACATAAGAGTGGTTGGTGTTCCTCAGCATCCCCTGATTGACAATAATTATCATTCTCTCTTTCATTTTTCTTTTCTTTCTCTCTCTCTCTCTCTCTCTCTCTTTCTCTCTCTCTCTCTCTCTCTCTGTCTCTCTCTCTCTCTATTTAAGGAAAAATTAATTACTACATAAAGAAAAAAAAAAAGTTGCAAATTGTATTAGAATGACTTTGTTTATCATGATTCACATCCTGATACAATTACGAACACACGGTTAGGATAAATATGTCAGGAAAGCAAATTATCTACAAGAATACATATAATATTTCGTTCCACTAACATAGGAGTGTTATTCTTCAGCATCCTATGGCTGACATTAATTATCATTCTCTCTTTCATTTTCTCTCTGTTTCTCTAAGGAAAAATTAATTACTAAATAAGGAAAAAAAAAGGTGCAAATTGTATTAGAATGACTTTGTCTGTCATCACTCACATAATAATATATATATATATATATATATATATATAATTACGAACACATAGTTAGGATAAATAGTTCTACGAATGCAAACATAATGTAAAACTAAACAGAAAAAATAAAACAAAACAAAAAAAAATCTAATTAGAATAAGGCCTATAGCGCGACACTATTCTCAAGCAAGTATTAATTAATCTAATAAATATTGAGCGTTCATCCTCAATTAGATTCACATATTCATTCATTCATTCAATTCGTACCGCATCGATATAAATGAACATTTGGAACTTGCTAAGCAGCTGTCTCTCTATTCTTCCACATTTACGAATGCCATATATATGCTCCTCATTCAACTGTGTGTTGCTCTATATACCAATGATACTTGCGATTTCGTTTACCTTATCCAGAAATATCCGCTAGATTGCGTTAATGTAAAATGCAAATATTTTTAAGTCGCATAACGCTTTCATACACCATGTCATGCATCATGTCTGCACGTCAATGTGTATGTCAAACGGTGAAGTGTTTCTTCGAATACTTGTAGTAATCGCGCAAATTGACTGAGACAAACATTGAATCCATACGCATCTTCACTTCTCAACCATACCGACAGAATGAATTTGAAAATATGAACGTGATGCTTCCAAATTAAGCAGAAAAAAATAAAAAAATATTGGATCTATTATTACTGCGAAAAACACATTTCCCCACACGTGTCTGCAATCGGGAAAAAACCTTTAATTTGCATATTGAAGGATCTACTGCAAGCTCACCGCAATCGTATTCCAAGTTCATGTAATTGACACGCCCATATTTAAAAAATTATTTTGTAATTCGAATACGTTAGTCGTCCTCGACAAAAATTGATCGTAACGTTTGCGTGACCCGCCACGATTGATTTAAAGCTTTTCCCTTTGCCTTTTATCTCATGTCTGTTCAACTTGAAGGTATATAAGGTTCAATAATAAATTAATTAATTATACCAAATTTGGTTCTTGTAGATATATTTTCTTGACCCACTCCCATATAAGAGATGAAATGTACATGAAAAGTGATAATAATGTTCAATTTTGAGAGTAGACGACTATTGATGAAAAAGATGATAACTTTTCAAGGTTTTGAACCGACTTCAATATATATAATAAGAGGCTTACATGGAAACAAAGTATAATTTTTGATATACTATCATGAATTGCCCACATCACGGAAGATTTGCTTTAGCGAAAAAAATATAGAAAACTTATCAAACGAAAAATAGATGGAGGCCGATATGGACAATTTCAATATCTCATGCCTTCATTAAGTTAGTTAAGAATATTTTTTTTTTTCTAAACTAACAAGATATGCATTTTAGATGCCATATAATGGAGAGGCACCAATAGAGTCTATGTTTACCGAGGGATTGACTTGAATTTCTTTCAGGTCGATGCATTTCACAAGTGTTACCAGCAGAAAGAGCAACTTAATATATTCTTATTATCTGAGTATAAATAAATAGATATGCAGCGATACTAGAAAAAACGCTGGTTTTCCAATTGGTTAAGGGAGTAAGAAAACTAAGTACTGCCCACTATATATATGAGTGCTATATAAAAAACAAATGTCTTTATGCAAAACGAATGTAGAATGTAGCGAGATAAATGTTATATGTGCATAAAGCTATGGAAAGCAATACTTTTGTGTAAAGTTATGGCAAAGTATTATTTCGTGGCTTTTCAAGCACTTTTTCTGTGAAGGTAAGTAATGTTTAAAAATAGACTAAAAATCAATAAAACAGTATATACGCTGTGTGTCTATGTTTGCGTATAGTTACTGTTGCTATTGCTGTGCGCATACAAATAAACACATAACATACTCTATAGTAAAAGAAGAAATGTTTCCTTTACTTGTTCTGTGTCCTTAGGTAATAGCGCATGCACATCCATCCATCCGTCCGTATATACATATATACATCCATACATACATATATGCATGCATGGTATTTAGGTAAATGGATATGTTTATAAACTTGGTTTTTTTTTTCCTTCCACTTATTTATTTATTTATTTACTTTTTTTGTTTTTTTTTTTTTTTCTTTTTCTTTTCTTTCTCTCTTTTTTGTATATAAACAAATATGTGTACTACATGCAGTCCTTGCTATGTATATGTATATATATAAGTGTACACTGTGTACAAATCATGTAAGGTCTGCAATAAACTTGGGTGGCATGTTTAAGAAAAATGTCAAGTTCAATACTAAATCTACATTGAATTTACACTTACATATATTTAAAGAAAAAGCTTACCATGTGCTGGGATTCTTTCTTCGGGTGAAGTCATTTTTTGTAAAAGAAATTTTTAAGAAATTCTGTAAAAATAAAAAGAAAAAGAAAATATATTGAAAAATTAATACATCGTTGCTTTTAACCTAAATAATACGATCGCTTTTTATAGGCAAGTCGTACGCATTCAAGGTTTATTAGTGCTGGCACATTAATGAATATAAAATGTATGTATGCTTGCTTTTTTCACAAGTAAGTACGTATACATATACAAGTTTCTTTCTAGTAGGGTCAACAATTTTCGTTCCGATTAACTGTAAATAGATAGTTAATAAATCTTAAGAGACGTAGTTGTAACCATCTCCCTCTCACTTTCCCCCTCTCTCTCTCTCTCCGTATCTCTCTCTCTCTCACTCTCTCTCTCTCTCTCTCTCTCTCTCTCTCTCTCTCTCTCTCTCACTCCCTTTTATTCTCCCTTGACTTGTAAAAGGATCGTCCGGCCAATCCTTTCTATTTACTGTAAAATTATTCGAAAAAACATATATACATGCATACGTAAATGTAGAAAATTCGAAAGTCTAGTGGGCATTCTACTGTTAACAAGGGCAGAAATACGTCCACACGGTGTCGCATTATTTAATCGGTACGTAACCCTTGCCGAAAAAGTAAAGTTAATGGGGATATTTTTTGCAGTCTATTACAATACTCAGCACATTTCCACTCTTTTACGTATGAGAACAAGTCAAATTTTTGTAGACTTAGAATATCAAGGATTCAGAAACTATCTGTCACCACCAACTGCAACCCAGAGAAGTTTCATCCGATTTTGAAATGACATGGTTGACCAACGAAAAGAAATCGACTTTTCCGAATTTCCGAATTCCAAAAAAAAAAATCTTTTTTATTCTAATTTTTTGACTTTGTTAGTGACCTGGTGTACTACGGGGAACGTGCAAATTTTATGATCACTTTTTTTTTTTTATCTCGTTATACTGCAACTGGTTATCGAATAGCGATAAATAATTGCGGATTAAAATCGAACTTCCATTCCTAATTTCAATTTCAATTTTTTTGTATGTTAGCTTATACTAATGGAGTGAATTTTCACTGAACACAATTAATTTCTTATGTTTTATGCTTTTCAGTATTTTCCCTTTTTGCACGGTTTTCTTGGAAATTCATCTTAAACGACATTTTAAATGTGTGAAACATATTCCCATATTTACCATATATCGTATGTATTTTTTTACACGTTTTTTGGATTTTTGCACAGTTGTCTAAGGAATGTACCTACCGTGTAAAAAAAGAATTTGTTTTATATGGTATGATGACCAGATTGCAAAGAATCGTCGAGGGATACCTTCTCAAAGATGTTAAACACAACCAGCGAATGTCATCGATAACTTATGTAGAGAGAATAATTTTGCATTTTTTCACTCCATAAAAGAGAACATATCAAAATGTATGCTTGCAACGAAACAGAGGCAGCTCATTCCTCAATGCGATTGAAGAGATCTGCAAGTCTTTTGTACTCCGTGCATCATTAAATCGCTAAATTCAATGGGCTAGAACTTGATCTTTATGGGTCAACTCAAAAACCCGATATATAACATAAAGAAAAGATTGTGAATCCCAGCGATAGTTCCAGCAATTAACAAATTCTTGCTAATGCACGCGAGCTCTCATCCCACTTTGAAGTTAGCGCGTGACTTATAGCTAACGCTGCGCATACACGCCTTGTATTGTAAATTAGTCTTTATAACTTGAAGATGGCCGCGATCAACCAACAGACATCCTCATAATGAACTGTCAATTTACAACAAATATTAAGCCGATAGCCTTAGATGCTAGTGCTTTTAAGAGTTTAGTCTTAAAATTTATTTCTCTGGCGAAATTAATAATAATAATAATAATAATAATAATAATAATAGTACAACAAATATTAATCTAAAACTTAATACAAACATTTTCGAAGAGCAACTATAACACCCAACTAATTCCGAATGATCCCGTTTGACCAAATGATATGTTCCTCTATTGTCTAAATCCATTTTTTGTCACTTTAATATGATGAGTGGTCGGCCTGAAGGCGAATCTATAAGTGTTGATCGACAAGGATACATATTCGAGGACTAAATGATTCCATTTACCTCGATTTTTTCTTTTAGTTAAAAAACATGCACACGATCCGATCTTTATTCCAAATAAATTTCTTGAAAATCATTATGATAGACGTCGACTTTCGTCGAACGTCTTGCCATTCGGAAATTCATTTTCGGATCTGTATTCACGGCCTATGTTAAATTCAAATCTCATCGTCATAGTTAAGGAGATTATCTAATAATTCATTTCTTCTACTCATCGGACAGCAACTCGGACTTGGCTCTCGTTTTTTCCTCCTTTGCAAACTTTGGCGCGAGCCCAAAAAAGATGTAAACAAGCTATTCGGGAAAACCTTTCTGCAGTCCATTCTTTCCCACTAAATCGGGTGCATGTTAGTGCACTTGTTGTTTAGTTTATTTATCTTAGATGTGCTTGGAGATGGAAGTCTAGCATAAGCGAATATATAGTTAGTAGAAAATTTGGAACTAAATATTATCCAATTTCAATTTATTAGCAGATTTATTTAAAATTTCTAACAGGTCGGCGACTTTATGAGAATCCTGATGAATCACTTTTCCAACTAAACATAACATAAAACCAAATTACATAGAAACGCAATCAAATGTTAATCTGACAGTGCCGCGGATTCGCATTTACACAACGGATGTCTATAAAGTTTTTAAAACGTTTTAACAACGCTAGCAATCAGACACAACGCTAGCATTGTCATTATGATAGACGATAGACTATCGATTTCCATTAAACAATTACAACTTCGACTCTTTCGAATTGCTAAATAGAAACCATGTTCTTTTCCCGAAAGCACAATTTCAAATGCAACGTTTGCATAGGGCATTAATACCTTTTCCCATTGTGTAACATTGGGATGTTTCCCATCTGTTGTAACATTGCCAGCGTAGCGACTTTCCAACTTAGATCGATAGATTTCTGATGGGCCCCTTAAAGCATGTTCGTTCCTTAAGCGAGTTATATCTTTCTTGCTGTTGACTGGCTGGCGGCATAGGTTCGTTTTATCCGATGATTCCTCAAACTGTTTGGTAGAAATTTATAAAATATGATTTTCATTTCATGTCACTTACTAACTGCTTATAATGAAAACATTTCTAGAACAAGAAAGGGGTGAACGTTCTTTTGGTTATTGCTCTTTCTTTTTTTTTTTTTTTTTTTTATTATATCTCGAATATAAATAACAAAAATATATTTTCGAGGGCTTGCGCAATATATATTTATGTCTTTAATGAGATAAAATTATCAAATGTAGAGGATTATGGCGGGAAGTTCGTTCGTCTTTACGTCTAAGTATTTTAAGAATTTTTAAAATACTTTTTGGACATCTACTCGATTTAATTAACCGGCGGGTCAACATCGTATCTCTTGTTACGCGTGAGTACAATAGTTGATCATAGTAACATATATAAACATACGATGTAGATTTTAATGTATAATGATCCTCTGCTATGCATACATTTGTTTGAAACGGTACTTCGTCAAATGTTAAAGAATAGAAGGAAATGTTATGAAAAACAACAACAGATCGGCATTTAAAGACGTTACATCGCTTTGTCAATTAAAATTTTTTTTTGTTGTTTATTCTCGTAAGAAAATATGCAAATATATATGTATATGCCTTGTTGTTGCCTTTTCAAAAGGTTGACTTCAAATCAAATAAAAATCAAGGACTTATATTAGTAGTGGTGTCGAAGGTGTGGTCCAATCCGTACCATTTTCAATAGCATACGTGTTTGGTCCAAAATACTTTTGTGGACAAAATTTCATCAAAATATTTCAAAAATTGCGTTCTGTAGGTTAAACACAAGAAAACAAGATGGGCCGACGGTCAGACAAGCTTAACTCGTTTCAGAAAGTGATTCTGAATCGATCTGAGCCTATCTGATCGTCCGTTCGTCTGATTTATGTCAATGAAAATTTGTGCTATATGCCGAAAAGGCTTAATTGTCCGTATTTTATAAGGAACGATATTTCTTGGATCCCATCGCATATAAGATATCCCATGAATAGTAAGGCCTTCAGAAGAAAATTTAATTTTTAATGAAATTTAATTTATGATGAAAATATAATGGTCGGTAGTAACATTTAAGCCAAAAAATATGTAGCTTAGGAAATTTGAATCATATAGATCTATTTTTTAGACCGCAATACATGGGAGTTATGATGAACAGCAAGCCCTTATACGGAAAGAAAGTATGATTGCTAGGTTTCTACGATGCCAACTGAAAAATAATAAAATTTTTTGAAATGTAAATTAAGTTAAACTAAATCGAGGTCATGTCATATGATGTTTTGGGCATCTTCCAATATTCGGAATTTACATTAAAAAGTTCCCTTTGCATGAAAATTTTAGGTAGTGTTTGGTGTATTATTGCCAAAATAAGTGAACAACAGTACTAGGCGAATTGGAATCGGCTATTCACAATGGTCACTCTTGCCCTACTATTATCTTCTTACTTGTTCATTTATAGGTATGTATATGGAATCGAATTAAATGTATGATGAAAATTTTCATAACTTAACATAATAGATATTCCCTGTAGTTATATTCATGCAAAATCTATTATAACACGATTTTGATATAACACGATGCACATTACCTTTATTTTATGTTATATCAAAGTTTCATAAGTGTCTTCTACGAGGGACAATTTTACATCTAATAAATCGCTTCCCCCCAATCTCTTTTGTGAAATTAGATGCGAAATTCTGAAGAAGAGAAAAATTACGTGCTACGCTTATTTTAAGGCACATCTAAAATGATATATATCGCATCATCTAAGACAGGCATGGGCAATTCGCGGCCCGTGAGGTAAGCGAGCCCCGTTCGTTTAAAACTTCAAATAATTTTATACGCTCGCACATAGCAATACTGCAAATGGATTCTATATGCCGTCACGTCCGGCTCTGTTGTGCATCTATAAAATATGAAAAGCGTTTAAGTGCTTTTTTTTTTTGGTCCATTAGGCCATAAAATGAGCGATTTAAGGAGAGAATGAAACAGCGGGCGCCCTTAAGGAGCGCAATACCGCATTTTTAATAATAGTTCGAACTTATTGTGATCCTCGTCGCGTTATGAAAAGTAAAATTGGCTCGTTAATGAAAAAAATTGCCCACCTCTGATCTAAGATATAAACGCATAATAGGCATATATAATTATTGCTTATAAGAAACTTAGAGTAGATTATATAAGTGGGATGACCAAAATATTTAAAAAAACTTCAATTCAATGCAACTACTGCAACGTATTGACATTACTTATTGACGGATGGACGGATTTATATTATTTTCAACGTTTCTATTAATAAAGTAATGGAATGCAATTAATTCAATTTTCATTTCCGAATTTTAGATTTTTTTTAATGAATATACACTTTTATCCGGAAGTTACAATCGGATTGAGCGAACTATGATACGAACTTAAGGGACGCATATGTAAAATGTAAGCATTAAGCATTAAAGTTAACTTGCGTAGTTCGATTGCATAAATAATGCACACATATATTCACACTTTTGAAAGCATTCAATATTAACGAAAATGTAAATAAATAAATAACTGATTAATATATAGGCGTGTATATGTGCTGTTATATGTTGCGAACAAAGAAAACGAAATTATGTAAATAAGTAAAACAAGTAAGAAATTTATAGTCGTCTTGTCGTAAAATTCTGCTGCCCACTACCTCAGTCCAATGCATAAGATTGTAAAGTGCGTTATTATAATAATTTTAAGCTAAACTTTGGTCTTTTGCTTACACTGCGGTATTAGGATAGATATCTTTGTATCGAACTTTAGAGTTTTATGTCGTTTCCCTTATTGTGAATTATTATTATATTAAACTGATGATGTCTGTACTTTAAGTAAAGTTTTAATAAAACTTTAATAAACGGGCTATGAATTTTAATCTGATTAAAAATGTGCATATATATATATATATATATATATATATATATTCATAATCAGTAATCGGGCTGCTTACCGATGCTTATTAAGAAACGTTACAAACAGAAAGGCGAATTTAATATGCAAGCATTCTCTGACGATGAGCGTAAAAATGATCAGGAAACGACCTTATCATTGGCTTTTGTTATTATTGTTATTGTTGGCCGGGTCATTGGTTGCGGCGAAGACATATTACTTGTTGATCTTAACACAAATTCAATACAAGAAACAACAAACGAGATATAAAGCAAAATAAAGTGACGTTAATTTATGCTAAGAGAGGCACCAAAAAGGAGGAAAAATAAACAAATAAAGAAACATAGTATAGAGCGCATAGAAAAATATCCGTAAAGTGTAGAAGAGCGATTGTGATTGGACAAATATATGATGAACAGCGTTAATGTTGATGCGTACATAAATTAATAGGTTTGGCACGCGCTTACTATCGGGAAATATTAAAACAAAATAACAAAAAAATTATAATAATAACAAAAACAACAATAACAAACGCACGAAAGCAACTGGTGTTAAAAACCTGTAACTACGTCAACCAAAACAATGCAAAAAGCATAACAGAAATAAATATGTATGCTTCTAACCTACGAAGTAATTGTAAGCTTGGGAGCGTATGAATATATATATATATTTGTATGTATGCCTTTGAATAAATATGTAACGACAGTAGAGATAAAGCCGTATGAGCAGCGTATCCATGCATTTATACATATATATTTATATATATATATATATATATATATGTGTGTGTGTATGGGAAGTTAAAAAATAAGTTATAATAAAAAGAAGAAGATGAAAAAAAAACTGGGAAAAATCTAAAGAGAGATAGAAAGAGAGAATTGTGAAAATATTTTGCACTTTTCCAAGAACTTGTTAACTTTCCAAGAATTGTAAAGAAAGAACGAAAAAAGGAAAACAAATTCATTTTATTAGATGAAGACTAACAGAAATTGAAGAGCGAAGTGCACATACGTACACAGATACACACACAAAAACACATATGTAATAAATAAAAACTTAACAATACAACGAAGTAGAAGAACTTCAATTAGCTTTACTTAATTAAATAAACATTAATTAGAAAGTCAAAGAAATAATTAAAATATATATTAATTAATATGTCTACAATAATTATTATTGGGGATTATTATGTTGCCAGTATTAAGTGCGTACATAAAATAATAGAACAGGCCTAAACAACAGCTTAAAAACAATAGTTCCCTCTCCCTCTCTCTCTCTCTCTCTCTCTCTCTCCCTGTTTCGCTCTCTTTATTTTCAAACTAATCAGGTGGTTATTTTACTTAATTTGCTTGCGGAAGGAACGCATTGGTTTGCAAACTTGATCTGTGTACAAGTCAATAAATTTCACTTGTCTGTCTTTATATATCTAGAAATTGAAAAGTTTAAGCAATCCGTATCGGGAAAGGTAGAACACAATCTCTACATATCCTTTTCGAAACACTACACAATAATTTATATATAGTGAAAGTATCAGTTCTTTAAACAGCCCTTTAGCTTTAAGGTCTCATCAAAGATTTCTTTCTTTATCGAAGCGCTAAACGACGAATAGAACGAAATTATTTATTTTTTAGATTTAAAATGCAACAAGGAAGACATAAATCGAATATATATATATATATATACATATATATATCAAAGATTATAAACTCAACTCAAAGTAAATATAGAAATTAAACTTACTAAAGTAAATTAATGATCGGCATAAATCATGCACTCTGCAGATCGGGGCAATGTTTTTTCTTTTTCCTAAATTTGCACTTTCCTTCTAAAAATACTTACTTATTAGCATTTATCTATAAGTAAATTATTACAAATAAATTATATTTCATATATTCATGATAATTTGATTCTAAAGAACTCGCAAACAATAAAACCATAAATTCTTAAGAGACACATATAAGAAAACAAACTACCACTTGTTACATAAATAATATAAACGCATATATAGGTATATATGTATATACACGCAAAAAACAAAAAAAAAAAACCCCATAAATTGCTATTAAACAAAGTCAATGAGCCCAAAACATAATTACCAGGTTCTGAATTGATGAAATTTAATCATTTTAAAGAAGAAGAAATTTTGCTAATGCAACTGTTATTATTATTATTATTATTTACTTTACTATGAATATTATTATTATTGTTATTGTTTTTTTTTTTTTTTGACTCACTTGTTATTATTATTGTTGTTGTTGTTGTTTGATATTAGATATTTGCTGTGTGTTGGCATCAATTGTAGAAAAAAATCAGAGCAGAAAGTTTCCTTTCTTTTCGTGTTTTTTTTTTTTGTTCCTTTTTGCTTTTTAACCCGCGACAAATCTAATTTCTTTTTTAATGAATGTCGTACACTTATGTGTATTCTTTTATATCATTCTTGTAAATTTTATATACGAATAAGGAATTATTAGATAGATATATAAATATTTATATATATATATATATATATATATATATATATCACATATATATATATAGACATTTATATTGCAGCAGTGTTTAATTAAGTCGCATAAATCGCGTTATTAAATGAATATAACACACACGTTCTTACAAAAAAAAAATAATAATAATAATAATCACAAACTTGTACTTTTTTTAATGGAAAGAGACTCCGCAACCGCTCCCACTCACTTACTATATTTACTTTTTCAATTTTGCTTCTTCTTCACCAAGCTGTTTTTCAATTAATTACACACAACGCATACACGTTCAGGCACTTAACACACACATTTACGTTTTCTCTCATCTATCTATACCAGTGCATTCATCATATACATATATATGTATATATATATATAACCAATTTAATATATATCTCTCTTGTAGCTGTTACTCTCTCTCTCTCTCTCTCTCTCTCTCTCAGTCTTCGTCCTCTTCTTTTACTCTCTCACTCTCCTCAAAACGAATAAATAGAATGTTTACTACGGTTGTGTTGTTTTTTGCATTCTACTGTCGGAATTCAGGAGAAGATAAACACCAAACAAAAGAAAGAAAAGCGAACTGAAAAATACATACTACAATTCCAAGTCACAGCTGCGCTCCAATTGGAATTTTTTTGCTGCTGTTTTTTTTTTTATTCTTTTTAACAAAAATTTTCTCTTTATTTCTTGTTTAGTTTTTGTTGTTGTTGCACCACCACTTTATGATAATCAACTGAATTAAGCATTTTTAGGAATTTTTCAAATATTTTTATTCAATTTCTGACTCATCAATTGATACATATAAGTATTAAAGCATTTTATGCATGATCCACAATTTTCACTTGTTAAAATATTATGAAACGTTTGTGTTTGTTTTTTTTTTTTTTTTTTTTACAGGTTTTACGAAAATATTTTTTATAATTCTTTAATATTCTTCATCACATTCTTTACACAAATAAATTCGAACTTTAGCGAAGAGAATTTTATAAAATCCTTCTAAACTTAATTCACAGGCTCAATAAGTTCAATCAAAGTAAAAATATTGAATATAATTTCGAATGTAAAAAAATTAAATTATACGCTTGCCCGTGTATATGTTTTAGTATGCAAACAGACTAGAGCACGCAGCACACTTTGCATATTTGTTCGTTTTTATTGAAACCGTAAATAATTTACACATCTTCATCGTTCAAATCGTTAACAACTTTTATGCTCACGATTCTTCTCTGATTCGTTTTGACTCATTTTCTTTTTTATTTCGATTATTTCATTTTATTTAACATATATAAAACACATCTGTAATTATAACATCTGAACAAAACACCTGATTGTTAAAAACATATGTTTAAACAAATAAGATTGCATATTTATTTCGTAAAGTAAGCGCGATTCAAAGCATTTCTAAGCCAAAAATTTTTTTTTTTTTGTTTTTATTGAATTTATTTTAAATTTCGGAATAGAGTAAAAATCAAAAACCTTTTATTCTTTTCTCTCTTGAAATTTTTTTAAACTTTTTTATTTAAGTAATTGAACAAAATTATCAATATTCTTTTTTACATTCCCTAGGTTTAATTTATTTTATTTTATCTATTTATTATTACACCATTATTATCATTTTTATTATTCTTGTTGTATATGTTTTTAGTGCAATACCGTTACTCAAATCACGCATGAAGTTTTAAATTATTTGCTCTATGGACTCAATTGACTGAAAACTGAAACCACAACTTAAGGATACGGAAAATGTACGGTTGCGTTTCTTAAGAGCCCTCTTCGCTGCATATTTGCCAATCCAAACTATCAGTTGCGTTTGCCTTTCTTTTTGGCGTTTTTTCTTGTTGTTTTCTCTTTTTCTTCCACATTTAAATGCAGTGAAATAAGGTGCCCAGGTTACGTAATTTCTTATTTTGGGATGCCATATATATAATTTTTCAATAATTTTTCTTTTTTTCCACAAATAAATTATTTTATTATTGTTTTTTTTTTTTTTTCGTACTAAAAATCTTCTTGCAAATTTTAAATTTTATTCATGTTTCTTGCTAAGCGACTACTTGGCAGTATTGAATTCCTGCTGGCGGAGAGATTTCGTTGACACGTAATACTGAGAAAATATAATAAAGATTTTAATTTATATTTGTGTTAAGCAATTGTTGCAAGCAGAATGCTTGCTTTATGAATTACGCGTGAACGCAAATATTTGGTAACCTTTATTTAACTTTGTGCGTGAAAAACATGAAAACTAAACAAAACCATATGATTTTTTTGCATTTTTCATTTTGCAATGGCGACGGCATGACAGCAATTTGCATTTTGCAATGAATTTTAACAGATTACGTGAGTCTTAAAGCTCTTTTAACGATTACGTGAGACATAAAGCTCTTTTAACAGATTACGTGAGACATAAAGCTGGCGGCTTTGCAAATTAAACGATCTGGCAATTTAAGTTGTTAGTTGGGCACTCAACCATTTTTGGCAATTTTTTTATTTATTATAAGCGACTCTGTGCTTTGAAAATGTTTCGTAGTCATTTGGTTGGTTTGGTGGCGCTTGGAATAAACCATGGTTGGAGTTGTGCATACCGCTCATTGCAATTGGATATTAAATAAAAAGGGACAAAATCAAAATGTACCATCGATAGAAGAAATACAAAAAACCTTAGTGATGTTAGGAGATAAAAATCAAAAATTTATAGATTCTCGTGATTCGAAATGTGCTACGTGATAGATGCTTTATATAATGTAACGAGCAAAATGTAACTAAGTTAGAGAAATTGAAAGATCATATCGAGTCGTTGGCGAAGTATTTCTTCCTTAATTTTTCATGAATCTTAAATATCTTTTTTTTACAATATTTATAAATTCGTTACGCTTAGCAATGTTTTTTTATATTAATTATCGAAGCAGTAAATATATTTAGTATAGTAATATATTTATTATAGTAATATATATTTCTACGACAATGTTACGCTGGTCACATCCAATCTTTTGTGGGAAGAAAGGATCGATACTTAGATTATATCTTACTCATACACATTAAAAAAATTTAACCAGAGAATAAATTCTTTTCTTTAAAGCGCACTTGAGATTTGAAGCCACTCAGGCGGATAACTTGTAAAATTAAATAAGTTTAGTTAGAGTATTTTCCAAAACACTACTATACCTCTAGAGGAGATGATAGAAGAGGAGATGATGAAAGAGCAAAAGCGACCAAGTCAAGGAAGAAGAATTTGGAAACAATCAGGAAACCATTAAAACCATTAAAAAGAATAACAATTTCTTTTATATATATATATATATATATATATATATATATATATTTATACATATTAATAAAGTATTTTAAATGTATAATAAAGCTTTAAATTCTAAAATCGTGGAAATCCATGATCTAGCCCTTCACTTCGTCGCTGAAAAGTTTCTTTTAAAAACTGAAATGAACATCTGCTATACGTATACCGGAGGTGATTAGGTGATTCGATCGATAATAATGGCTTCGATTTCTCATTTTAACAGAATAATTGACTTCGATTTCTCGTTTTATCATTATCTTGATATAAAAATTTCTTAATTTACTTTTTAATACTTTTGCTAATTTGCGAAACTGTTGGCAAAAATACCCCAATTTTAACAGATTTATCTGAATCAGGGAAAGGTTTCTCTGACGAACGTCTCAAATATATTGAAGTCAATTGGAGTATCTTATGATGCTTTAACATTTCCATCTTTGATTGATATGGAAATGTATTTACCTTATTAGAATTTGTAGTCCTTGTACATGTATTTAAAGCTAAAATACTGTCATAAAAATAAAGCAATTTAACAATTTATTTTCTATTGATACTGCTCATTGTCTGCATCTGAGCTAAAATGAACAGCTGCATTATAATGACTGTTTGCAGTTTATTGATTATACTTATGTTTAAGTATCTTTAAATTTAATTTCTTTTTTAACAATAGTCTTCTTTTTCTGCGAGACAAAAAATCAACAAATGATGGGTTTCTAAGTATAAAACAAAGTATAAAAGCTGTCTGCTACATGAAAAGAAAAAAAGGGTTGCCAAGCTTATCATTTACCAAAAGAAGAACTTCCCTCGTCATATCCTCATAGGATCAAAATATATGTAAAGCCGAAAGCCTTAGATGCTAGTGCTTTAAGAGTTTAGTCTTAGAATTTATTTCTCTGGCAAAATTAATAATAATAATAATATAAATACATATATATAGAAAATAAAAAAAATTTGTTCTTTCGCAGTTGTCGCTGTTTCTAATGTATTGAGTGTGTAGGCAGTGCACAACCATTTTTAAACTTTTGTATGTATTCAAGTTAAATTCCCACAGCTGACAATGAAGAGTTTTGTGTTTTCTTCTCCATTATGCGTTCGCCTAAATCAAAGAAACATTTGGCAGTCCTGTTAAGCAAACGTCAACGCTTGCGTTTGTCGTGTTGATTACTCTCTTTCCGAGTTTGGTGTTTCTATAAATCAGACTAAATAAAAATGAAGGTGTGTAAAACTTCATGAAAATTGGGAAAATTTGTATAAATGTTTAAAAATATTTGTGACAATTAATTTCTCAATAGTTATTTTTAACTAAAATTATGAAAATTTAAGTCTTTTGCGCATGATTGCCAAAATAAATTGCGATAATAACATAGCATGTGAACTATAGAGATTTGTATTTGTTATATTATCTTAATTGTAGCTTAATGTTTCCTATCCCGCTACGGGGTGCCAGAAATTATTTGAAGTTAATGATGAACATAAGTTACGCGTATTCTATGAGAAACATATGGGACAGGTTGTTGAGGCCGATATTCTTGGTGATGAATGGAAAGGTTATATGCTGCGCATCTCTGGTGGTAATGATAAACAAGGCTTTCCAATGAAACAGGGTGTTTTGACCCATGGTAAATTTTATTCATTTAACTATTGCTTGAATGAGACATAATGTTAATTTGTTTCTATATCTCCAGACAGAGTTCGTTTATTGCTAAAGAAAGGGCATTCCTGTTACCGCCCGCGTCGTACTGGCGAACGTAAACGTAAGTCGGTGCGTGGCTGCATTGTGGATGCAAACATGTCTGTCTTGGCTTTAGTAATTGTTAAGAAAGGTGAAAAAGATATACCTGGCTTAACAGATACCTCTGTACCGCGTCGCTTGGGCCCTAAGCGAGCAAGCAAAATACGTAAACTATACAATTTGTCTAAAGTAGATGATGTCAGACCTTACGTTATACGACGTCCTCTTCCCGCAAAGGACAATAAGAAAGCGATTTCGAAAGCACCCAAAATTCAACGACTTATCACCCCAGTTGTTTTGCAGAGAAAACGTAGACGTATTGCTTTAAAGAAAAAACGTCAAGCTGCTTCCAAGGAGGCCGCAGCTGATTACGCCAAACTTTTGGCTCAACGTAAGAAGGAATCAAAAGCCAAACGTGAAGAAGCTAAGAGGCGCCGTTCAGCTTCTATGCGTGAATCAAAGAGTTCTATTTCAAGCGATAAGAAGTGAATAAATCGTAGCGATTTTTAATTATAATTAATTTCGTACTTTTCGTGGATTTAAGAAAATGGTTCTTGAATCCACCAAAGAGTAGTAAGAATAAAATCTAAAAAAAATTTTTTAAATGCTTCATTAGAAAATCGAATACCGGCAAATTATTAGAGAGAAAGCATTGTGGTAAAAACGACTTTGTACATAAAGTTCCTCGCATTTCACAAAGTTTCGTTTTCAATTTTATCGTTCACAAATAGGCTTATTTATTAAACGTAAATATGGCAAGACGGATAGCATGTAAAAGCTTGGACTCATAAGAATTTTTATAACTAAACAACAGTTGATAATCAACTGGCAAATATCACTTTTTCGATTTTGGTAAGTTGATATCAGTGGCTTGCAGACATCAAGAAACCACATCAACCCTGAATAAGATTTCTATTCTCATCATATTCATTACTGCTTACCTTAACTTTCGAATGCGGTCCCCCATTAATAAATTGGCTTTTCAGCAATGTTTTCATCGAATGAAATGTATACATCAATGGTTACATCAGCAAGTCGACCTTATAATTGTAATTTATTATTACTATTATCATTATTATAATTATAATTTTAGACTAAAAAAAGGACATTGAGCACTAATAACACAGGCTATCGGTTTAGTAATTTATATAACTTTCCTTCTGCAAGAAATTGACGTGTCATTTCGGTTTGTGACCTCAAGTAAGACGCGTAATAATGCTTATTGTTATTTACAACCACAGAATTTGCAAAAAATAGGCCCATGCATCGCAGTTGACTGACTTGTGAACAATTTTGATGCATTTCTAGCTGAAGATGGTTGAACCACAGCAAATAATCCTAGAATGAATACAGTGCTGAACAGCGTAAAGCTAACATAGGTTGTTCATAAAACATTGTCATCAGTAGTACTATTAAGTGTTTGCAAAAATTTGTATCACTTTTTCAATTGAAAAAGGCATTTATTGTGGAAAATTGTTACAACATATATTAATCAAAATAGTTTCCATCGTTTGGTACAACATTTTATAATATTTATAGCGGGATATCCGAAAGCGGGATATCATGTGAAAAGAACTTATATTGATTTGACAGCGATCCACCCACCGACCCATTTTTGCGCTTTTTCAAATTTGCGGACCGGCGTGCCAAAGACTAAGCACTATGATCAGTAGGTATATTGAATACTAACCCAAGGCATCCAATAAAAACAAACGATATTAAAGACGATAAGAGAGGGAGAGAGTAAAGAACTTAAATGAGAACATTTACTAAATTTGTACGAAAAGCATGCGTAAGACTAAGCACAATAGTCATGTGTGTGCGATAGTATGTGTATTGAGTACTAGTCCAAGACATCCGATAAAAACATACGATATTAAAAACCGTAAGAGAGGGAGAGAATAAGGAACTGGATGGAGAACATCGAACGTGTATGGCAAGTATGCGTAAGACTACATCTACTATCTGCTATCAACACTGCGTACGGCAGTATGCGTATTCAATAGACTTGTGCGTGGCTGTATTTGCGCTATGGTAGAAATATTCGCGTGAGGTTGCATTTGCTTAAGCGTGCATATGTAGGCAAGCAGAAACGCTTATGTGTGGTTGTGCGTTTATTTGCTTAAGCAATTGTATGTGGGCGCATAAGTGATACAATTTTCACCTTTTGATTTTTCTGTGCTTGACCGCATTTGATATTTTAATTTGAGCCTTTTTTTATGTAGGAGTTTACCTTATTTTTGGAGAATTACTACTATTTCCCCATACATCTATTTATTTACTGCCAAAAATTATTTGTTATAACTATTCTCTCTAATTTCGACCATACATATTCCTTCTATTACTGTTATTATTCTTATTAAAGAAAAATATTACTATAATTTGTTCCAATTTGTACATTTTCATCAATATTCAACTTTGCGAGAATGTCATTTAAACACAAATAAATTTAGCGCGAGCCAGCGCGAAATTGAACCCAACGTGTTGCAACTAAATTTTTGCTTCAAACACGCTTCAATTGACGTCGGTTGTAGCAATTTAATTCAGCAGCTCGTAGTAGACTATATCTTGCTGATAACATAGTGACGGCAAAATTTTATGGCTGAATATTCTAACTTGGTATTGATGTGGATGGCTCTCATTTTTCATCGCCAGCCACAATACGCCAAAGAAAGCTTTTCTCCTTTTACCTCGCAAACAGTAAAGTCGTTATATTGAAACGGTTCAAAATTTGCGTTTTCAGCCAATTTGTATGATAGCTATTTTTCCTCGTTTTGGATCTTTCTCATCGCATGTAAACGTCTGCAAACAGTTGATTTTGAGAGTGTAAGTTAGGTTTTCGTCCAACAAGTCTTGCAAGCCATTGTCTTTAAACATTTTTGGTCCTCCAGACCGTTACTTGCCAATGAGGTTACTATCAGATTATATTTTCAATTATTTAAATGAGCACGGACCATTGAGAAATGGTGGAGCAGCATCGCTACAAGCTTCTGAACTTATTCGGTGGACTTTGGCAGTAGATTACTTCAAATAAACAACAAAAGTAATGAAGGTCGTAAGTTATATTTTGAGTGCTCCATGCGTCTAGCTTCGGCGTACGCTGAGTAACTCGGGTCAGAGAAGTTCAAAAACATCGAACTTAATCGTTACGTACACTGGTGTTTCCCATTTCTTAATCATTGTTAACCGGAAAAGTCGCCTATCAAAATGCATGCAACAGACTTTCATGTGAAATATTTAAATTAGGAAATGGAGATCGTGCGAACACATCAAAATGGAAAAAGAAGAAAATGAAATGTGGCTAAACAAATTACAGTGTTTGTGATTAGTGAGGCTAACATAACTTCCTTGCTTCCTGTCTATATAGTGTTAAGACGAGCTGGATATGTTTTTCCGTTTTTATTGTATGAATTTTTATTACTATTCTTTCTTTTATTCAAAACACAGTACATTCTCTCTCTTTATCAAAATATAGCTGAACGACAACGTCTTAAAACAGAGGACCATACTGTTTGTGTTTCGTTACGTCTAACGCCAAATCCATTAATCAAAGTCTCGGGTGGTTTTGTCCACGTTACAAAGTATGTTTTATACACAATCGCCTGAATTGCTGAAGAATTCTTCGGTTTTTTGTATCTACCACGAAATGGCCTTAACAACCAATGGATATAATGAAATTTCGAACGTTTTCCTGAGTGCCCTTTATTCCTTTGCATGCATTCCAACGAGTAGTTATTGCCTTTATCATTGCTACTAACTACGATACCGTATGACTTCAAGAATACATTTTTGTGTTGGGAAGACTTTAACGGACTCCAAGATACCGTTTGAACTTCCTGGTCTTTGAATTTTTTTCTTGGTTTTTCTTTAGCTGCAACAGGAGATGAAGATGCTTCACATTTTTCTGGAACCATAATACGAGATGTTGAGTAAAAGATTTCGGTATCTGCTTGATCGTTTAGCCAACATGATCTTAAGCAGTCTAATACCGAATCAGATTTTTGATAATTTGTACTTTGGTCGTCTACAATTAAATCTTGTTCGGATTCCTCATCGATTGGCGTAATTTTACGTATGGGATTTTGACTGCAAGGTAGACAACTGAACAATCTGTTTCCTCTACGACAATTATCACCTTCTCTGCAATGCAATTTCTCTACGTCAGATGCTTCCGATTCCGTTACTCTTGCTGTGAAAGTGTCCCATGGTGTAGTATACATTTGTCGTGCTTCTGTTACTACGCAGCGATCACTCTCTACAAATCTTTCCGATTTGTTCGTTTGAGTATTATCCATTGATTTAGATCTACTTGGTAGATTGTTGCTTTGATCCCCGCAACCTAAATGATCCACATTATCTCTGAGGCTCTCCGCAGGCACTGTTTCATTTTCTGCTAATTGCTGTTTCGCGATTTTATTCAAAACAACAGGGCTTTTTAAATCCCCTTTTTCGATTTCATTGTTTCCGTTAGCGTTATCATGGCTAGACATCATTGTCTCTCGCACTGTGGGTGGTCTATTGCTAGAAGATTTATGACGGATATCTCTAGCACTGCTTGAGCTTACGTAATTGTGTTCGGTAATATTAATTATATATGATTGACATTCTTCTCGTTGTGACCTATTTCACATCGGAAAAAACGAAAGCAAGAAAAATCAATTTAAAAAAACTCATCATAAGTATTTCTCCATAACGTAAACAAAACAATACGATATATCTGATTGACTTCCTGTCGAAGAAATTATAAACATATATATACATATAACATTATAAAAATTAGCTATTGATGAAAAGAGGAAAGCTTTCAATGAACTGTAATAATTGGTTCGTCGTACGTTCCGTTTTTTAATAAATAAAAGGTATATAGATTCAATCAAAGAAAGAATTTCCATTAATAATTTATACGATATATGAATGTAAGACTATGACAAAAATGACTTCTGTAAATTGATAGCACTGGCAGACATCGGAAGCAACCGATTAGTGGAGCGAATATTGTGGAAAAAGTGAGCCAAGAGCTTGGTCTTCCTTTTTGGGCACAGTAGTACGTGTTTGAAATCATGCAAGAATACCTCATAGCCAATTGCGTAAATGAAAAACAACTTTCCCACGGCATCTTGACGATATCCTGTTTTCCTAACTGCCCTTAGAGAGCTTAACTGATTTCAATAGAGAACAGAGAGAGAAACGCATTGATGGTTCAAAGAAGGTTTTGAAGGAGATCGTTGTTCGAATGAAACCTACCAAGAGTTTATGGTAGCGTCATTTAGATCTATTAAAATCCTGTAATATCTGAAAGCTACCTTTATCTTTCTAAAGTTGAAGAGCAGATACATGAAGGAAAGATGAAGGGAATACTCTCAATGTGAAACAAGTGATAATTAAATACCGTACACCGTTCTACATTCCTTATTCATATAACGACTTTTCGAAATTAGGGATTATATGGGAAGCGGTCGAGAAAGTGAGCCGAGCCGAAACATATTCAACAGCGTTCGTTCTCATCGAAGTATCTCAAAAATATCGACTTTCTACTTTAATCCAAGAAAACGAGACGGACCGACAAGCTGAGACCAATTCTGAAAATGATTCAGATTTGATCGCTAAGCTAAAAGGGCCTTGAAATGTTGTATTCATACAAACTTAATACATCCTTATATACCAAATGTTGTAGAGTATGAAAAGAAAGTTAAACAGAAGGCGGGATTGCTTGAATAGCTTTGAGAAAAAAGAACAGGATTAATTTTCTATATAATAACAATATGTAATATCGGTGCAAGGAATTTGCTTATTAAGCGCCTAAAACTTTCAATAAAAAGAAACAAAATTAAAATGTTACGGACCACGACTTTTGACACAGAAAAAGATGATTAGTGCAACCAAAACTTATGAAAATATATGATCCGTAAAAGAAACACATTTTACAAAAAAAAATATTTCGAAAGTCAATAAAATCTTGTTTAGCGCTTCATAGCCGTCCTTGTGTCGTCTACAGGCGTATATAAACTTACATATCGAACAATCCGCCTATTTTTATTTTCCAAAAGGTTTCCTTCAACGAACTGAAGGTACATTAAGAAAATTTTGTTCATGGTTGAAATAATCCCCCATAAACATATTACAAACAATTTAAGCAATACTCTCTATAAATTTAGTTAAAACAAATTTGCGTAACATACATATATGTTTATTATTTCAATAAAATGCATTTGTTTGTTTTTTTGCCTATAAACACTAGTGAGGAAGAATTTTGTCCTCGAGGGCAAATTTCCAACGATAATAAATGCTATTTTGGTTTATACATTATAAAAATAATTCTTTTGCTGCCCAATAAATTGGAAAAATACATATAGCAGAGACTAGGAAAAATAATATTAATTTTTTGTTTGTAAATAGACAGAAACGGTTGAAATTAGAGAAAATATTTATAATAATAAAAATTTTTGACAATAAATAGAAAAATATATAAAAAAGTAATAGTAATTCTTCAAAAATAAGGCAAATCGCCAAATAAAGATATCTTCAAATTAAAAGTACGCACAACTGCACACAAATCGTTCTCCTTAAGTGCGAATACACTCACGCACAGGTCCCTTTAAAAGGAGATGATACACGTACTCTTAGTGTAGTCTTACGCATATTTGCCGTAAAGATTTCGGTAGGTATTCTCATTTGAGTCTTCTTCTTATCCTCTCTCTTTCTTACGGTCTTTAATATCGTTTGTTTGCCTCGGATTTCTTGGATTACTATTTAATTATTTTGTTGCACAAACGGTGCTAGCGAAATGTCCCATCTTGTATATATAGTGTGTTTGTTCTATATTAGTCAATGCGCATATTATTCGGAGCTATAACGTGCTTTTGGGGGTGCAACATTCTGTAAGTGTGTTTCTTGTGATTTTCACGGGTGCTGAACATCCATATTAACTGGATCATTATGAAAATAGTTGAAGTCTTAACTCAATAAATATATAGCTCCCTTATAATAAGGTATTATTGTTGTTAATTTCGATCTAAAATAGACTTGCCACACTTTCAAAACTTCCATCCCGTAAACGTCAAAAATTTTGATTTTTTTTTGACCATAAATTATTTACAGATAAAAAAATTACATTAACATATTAGAATTGCCTTCATCTTTATCAAAAATGGACTTGGACTCGCTTTGCATCCACATATTTTCATATAGGGTATAAAAATTGAACCCCGTCTTCAGTCTTAAGTTGCTTAACATACACTTCTAGTATTTATTCATATTTTTTGCTTAATTCCTCTTTCTTCTTCGTTTTCTTTCCTGGCAAAAACTTTCCAAAATTTTCAATATATTTTATAATATTATATGGTATCTATTGCATTTTATGTTGTATTTTTAACATATATATATTTTTTTCTATTTTTAATAAAAGAAAGAAAATTGAATTTTTTTCATTTTTACCGGCTATAGAATGATTAAAACTAAGCATGTATATTATTTCGTAACGGAAAATTTTCAAAAGTTTTCCTTGCACCTTAACTGCCAAAATATGATTTCGTTGTACGTGCTTACACATAGTTGAATAACTTCCATTGCTGTATTGCAGCAATGCAAATAGTAGGCAAAATTTTATTTTTGCTGCATGCATTTGCATTGACAACGAATACAGTGTTGTATTTACCAAACAAAAATAAACAAAATCATACGGTTAATATGTCAATCACCATATGGCTTTAAAATGGTCATTGGCATTCGTATTATAGCGAGTTCATCTAGTTCATTGTAATTATAAAAATAAAAAGTTTAATAATATTACTATAGATAATTTTATATTTTGCAAAAGATATGTTTGAAAGAAAGTTGATCAACGCGGTACGAAGAAAACCACAAGTATATAATAGACGATTTCCAGGCTTTCGGAAACCAGCTGTAAAAGAAAAAGCCTGGGAAATCATATCTAAAGAAGTGGGCATGTCTAGTAAGTAAAAAACAGGAAAAGTATAAATAGTTGAATTGAAATTCTATATTTTTCAGTTGAACTTTGTAAAGGGAGGTGGAGAACGCTGAGAGACCGCTTTACAAGGGACTTTAAGAAAAAAATCATTTCATGTGGTGCTTCCTCCCCTGAAATCCATAAATGGAAATTTTACGATGATATGCTGTTTCTAGGAGACTGTATAGCGCCGAAAAGGTAACTATGAAATTTGTATGAGGTTTATATATATAAATACTTTGTTTTTGTATAGAACTGAAACAAATTTCGATGGCCGACAGTTAGTAGAATTTATTGAAGTTCCGGCACCTCCTAGCGACGCATTTTCGCAAAGTAGCGTACCGAGTTCTGGAAGGAGATCTCCCTCTTCTAAACAAAAACCTGAAGACAAATTTTTGGAAGTAATGGTCAAAATAATGGGTTTACTGGAAAGAAAAATGGAACGAGAGGAAAAAGATATTGACGATCAATTCGACACGTTTTTGGGGTCTATGATCAAAAAGTTGGACATCCGACAACAGGGCAATTTGAAAATAGAGATTTTAAACTATGCACACAGGAGAGTAAGTGAAATTTTGAGCACATAACGTATCGTATATGTATATATATATGTACATAAATTCTACATTTGACTGTTAGGTTACTTCATAAACTTATAGATCATAAATTTGCGAGTGTATACATAAATGAACTCTTGTCAACACATAGTGAAATTTTCCCTTTTGTACATTACAAACGCATATTTTTTCATTTTAAATGCATATTTTATTTTACTCTTTAAATTATTAAGTACAATTGTTATATTATTTAAATAATTATTAATGAAAATAATCGTTTAATAAAGTAGTTTTTGGTTAAAATGATTTTGTACTATATCCTGCACACGAAATTGAGTTCTACTGTAATTATTTCTCGATAACCTCTTTGGTCTGCATGGTGGTGTGATATTCTGCCACCATGATCTTGTTTTTTTCCTTTATTTTTTTTTGTTCTCAATTGAATTCAGAAACTTTTTTTGTGTGTCTGGCAACGACAACAGCCCTGCAATATCGTAAGTAATCACTTCGCACAGAGTAACCAAATAGGTTAGCGTGATGACTTAATAAGTTAGTGTTGCGGGTTGAAATCTCAGTTTACTTTAGTCGTAATTATAGCAACTTAGGTATTGTGGATGGCATTTGTGGGTATGACAAGTATTGTGGATGACATTTGTGGATATAACATTTATTGTAGATGGCATTTGTGGATATAACGAGTATTGTGGATGGCAGAAATTGTTGTTTTTTTGTAAACAACATGTAAAAGAAAAAAACCGCTAACGGATTTGAGAGAGAAATCAAAGCAAGTGCTTTGACAAGTGAAAAATTTGCAAAAAGCAAAGCATAAAGCTTCCTACAAGTGTATTTTTTGTGTGTAAATTTATAAATTTCCCAAAAAAAAGAAATAGTTATAAAAATATATGTATAAAAATATAAAAAATATATTTAGCAGTAATCAGTCACATTGCCCTGTTACTTAGCAGTAATCAGTCACATTGCCCTGTTATTTAACAGTAATCAGTCACATTGCTCGTTATTTAACAGATCTCAGTTACATTGCTTTGCCATTTAATAGATCTCAGTTACATTGTTGTGCCATTTAACAGATCTCATGACAAATGTGTTGCCACTTTTTCTTATTTATTTATTAGGAGCAACGCTATGTATATTCTCCGTACATTGTTATTGTTTCTTCTTCTTATTGCTTAATTTTGGTGTAAAAGAAATAGACAACTAACAGTTTTTTAGCCAAAAACCATTTTGCAAGCGCTTGCAAAAGATTGAGAATGAAAAATTATTAACGGTTGAAACAAGTGCCGAATTTATTTTCAGCTAATAGTGCCATTCAAGCAATCCTTGTGTAAAACAAAATGGGACTTCACAAAGTTGCCAAATTTAAGAAATCGTGATACTTGCCAATTGTGCTTGTATTTACACTGACATTTCCTTATATTTACTTCTCAAACTACATGGAACTTGTTCTCATTTACATTCATATTCTCATTTTCACTTATCAGATCACACGTTTGAGTCAAATAAATATTTTATTTTATGTTGGAACAGGTAAATAAATACCTGAAATCGAGTCATTTTTGAAAAGAGATTGGTCTATGAAAAGTAGATCGCATAGGAAAAATATCGGAGTCTAAAATGTATGGAGCTACATAAATATTAGCAATGCTTGAATTGATCCCACGTAAAATAGTGCTTTGTATTTTGTACGATTAGAAGGGAAACATGGATTATGAATTGCTTAAATCTGGCCAGACGATTAGTTATATTCTCTACTGTCAAGAAATAATGCGATTATAGCGCGCAATTGAGGTGAAGCATCCAAATTTGATTAGTAAGAAAAACGTAGTCTATAGAAACAAACTCGATCTCTTCATTGGGAATGTATAATGCACGAACCGCCGTATAGTTTGGATGTTTGGTCCGACTATTCCATTTATTTCACTAACTGCACAACTCTAAGTAATTCAAAGCTGGGGGGCAATCGAATATGAAGAATTTAGCCTTCGCTTTTGTATACAGCTATTTGGCAAAAAGGCTGAATATTAAAGTGAAAGCGATGTGATGGCGCACTTAGTTTCGTTTTTGATTTACAAAACGCAGTATAGTAACAAAAGAAAAAAGCGAAATTTAATGATTAAGTAGTTTAATATATAATGATAGGAGTTTTTCAAGTTTTCCCCTTGATCTATTATAATACGCTCGCGAATTAATTAATTGAAAGTTTGAAAAAATTTATATAACTACACATTGTTAGTTAAATTCTATATATATATATATATATATATATATAAGAACTTTCGTAGATAGTAATGGATAATTTTTCTTCGTCATATGAATGGGTAGTAAAAGCAAGTACATTCCATTATCAACAGCGTGCACGAGTAGCTTTTGTTTGGAAACATTCCGAGTTTGTGTATAAAAAATCACAACGTTTGCTAAAATCTTTATAGTAGTATTATATTAATAGTACAGTCAATGACTGTCGATAATTACCTGGAATATGGATATGAGTGGCGAAATCGATATAGGCAGGTAGACTTAAGCAACCGCCTATTTGTCGTAATCATGGGTGCGACTTCTAAACTTTTGTAAAAGAAAGATTTTGTGTCTAATTTTTGCTTGCTCAATCTTGTTTCAACGCCGTCAGCAAATAAATAACCCGAGCTTTTATTTATGCAATTATCTAAAAAATTCTGGAGAAAAATATGACCTATAATATATAATTATTCTCGAATAAATGGACTCTTGCTCCACCTTACAATTAATATAATTAGTTATCGTACAGAGACTACTATTGGATAAACTACTAGATAGACTACTATCTGATAATATAGTCGGGCAAAGCCGAGCATACATACCCTACATCATTTCACTTATTGAATCGTTTTGGCTACAATACACCATAAATTACTCATTATTTTCATGCAAAGACATGCTTTTTACGAAAGCATGCCCAAAGCGTCTTAGGCCTTCTTCCCCTATAAGGTTTACATTTGTTCAAAATCGTTATGTGCGATGGTATCAAAAAAATAGACCTACGTGCTTCAAATTCGACAAGATTGATTTGTATATCAATACGCTATTATGAACTAATTTTCACCACGAAATATTAAAAATTATACCATTTTACTATATAAAGATTCAGTTTTCTTATTAATGACTATCAAAAAGGGAGCTTAAAACCTTATCCAAAACCATATAGCCAATTTTCAAAATAACGCGTTGTGTGGAGAGTAATTGAAAAACTAAACTGATCCGAATTGTTTGCAATAACGTTTGTCTTTAGGTGGAAACATGTCAGTGTACTAAATTTCACGGAAATAGCGCTTAGATTGATTCAGAAAATGAATTGGAAAATGATTTTGGATCGATGTGTTTTTAAGCATTTGTGGATGTACGTCGGTGCGAACTTAATATACCCTGCACTACGAGTGGAGTAAATTCAGCTTGCATTTAGGTTCATTTCATTGAACTTAATTGACGTGTCCCTGGATACCCTGAAATATTTGATACCTAACCGCCTCGCTTAAGTTTGAGGGAGAAACCTAAATGGCTATCTAAAAGCCGAAATAGCTTATAAATTCAAACTATATCGTAACCCGGGGTGTTGTAGGATCGTTTACCTATCGATTAAAAAACAAACCGTGGTCAAAATGGATATTTTACATTCGTCGTTCTATAGCGAACAATAAAATAATTTAAAAAGCATAGTAAGCATAGATACATTATAGATGTAAACAATCTCTTTGTTAAATACACTTGCATATCGTTTAAATCCAAGTAATCAAAGTAGCTTAGTTGAATTTTACAACGGGTGGCAACGCGTGTATGTAGAAGTGAATTTATTTCGTTGTAATAAAAAGAAGTATTTTTAATTATTATATTATTTTTTTTCATTTTCAAGGAAATCGTATGTGTATATGGTAAAAATTGTTAAGCGATAAATAAGTTGGAAAAAAGGTTTCGTTGGCCACAAAAACGAAACTTTGTCGAAATAACTACCAGCCTTGAGAGACAAAGAAACCATTTTTAATTTTTTTTTCACTGGTAAGACATTTTGTGTGAAAAATTAAACGTCTTATAAGCATACATAGATACACATTTATATATATTTTTTTTTCTCCAAGTATGCAACTATATAAATGAAAGTTGCAATTGACGTAATGGAAATAGTCTCAGTTTGGAAATCCTTGTGTACGAAAATTTATAAATATTTAGAATTTCTAAATTATCAAGTGATGTGCGAGAAAAAAGGCTCGTAGGGGTTCCTCTTATGGAAATTATCGACCTTTTTTTTTTTTTTGTTACTTGCATATCTTTATATGTGTGCATCCACATAGGTACGTATTTATAGCAAAGCACGCATTTTTCAAAAAGGTTAATTTGCAAGCTCAAAGAAGAAAAATTCGTTGCATTGCTTTGGAGCTAATCATTTTTGTTGTGTAGAACGGGAAGCCGAGACCTTTTTTACTTAAAGAAGGAGGAAGCTTTTACTAACGCATTCAAAAGTTTGCTTTCCTTTTTATTGCATTAAAATCTGAAAAGTCACCAGGTATAACAATCGGGAGATCAACTTCACTTTTTAAATCGACACTTTCGAAACTTCTCATTTATTATTGCGACTAAAAATTAAGCACAAAAAGGAAGTTTTGTCGGTTGATATATAGAGGAAAACTTGATTATTTGTTTGATCATCTTATCATTCCGCCTATTGAATCATATGTGCATGTTTGATCCGTATAACGTTCCAAATCCATTTAGACATGTTGTCCACTCCTATCGTCGTTTTTTTGAAACGATGATGATCGCTATAATTGGTGTAAAAAATGAAAACTTGGTAAACATGATTCAGCCGGCACGTAAGCACATCTGCACTTTCCGGAAAAATTGCAAGAAGAATCAATAAATATCCAAGTACTTAAGGATTTCTATATATCTCTTTGGGTAATGAACACGTTAAATGAAATTGGTTCTATTTTTGTGCAGATCATATTCGGTCTTTGCTTAGCTCTCTATGGTGAAATAATATTTCAAGAAAAGGATTGTATTAAAAGAACGTGAATGTGTTCAGAAATGAATATTTCTAATGATCCCACTGCTGCAATATTTGTCATAAGGCTCGGAGCATGCAAATGTATGCTTATGTAGACATATATAGAGTCTGAAAAATATTAGTTATCTAGATTCAATTCTTACCTTACAGATGGGACAATCGATTGTGCCGAATACCAGATTATTATCCCCTACAAACGCCAAAATATTTTAATTTTTGCACTGTCCTGTCAATGCAGAAAAACAAAAATTATACATTATGTTGTGAATAATAATGAATGAACAACTGACTCATTAATAATAGAAGAGGAATGTTTAAGATTTCATTTTACAATGAATAACATCACAACTTCCACAATTATTTTTGCGAGGGAGGGAAAGGGGTCCGACTATTGCTTCATTTAGTGTCAATTTTTTTAATTGCAACTTTTGAGGCATTCGTAAACTATTTCATTGTACCCTTAGTTCTCCGGTGCAATTGTATTGAAACCATTAAGGGAGTAATAAATTTCTCCAAGAATTTTTGTCGGCCGATTGTTTCTTCATCTGTGTATACATGGAAACGTTAAAATATAACATATTTTATATAAAAATGTATCTTTTGTTTATTTTCAAAATATTCCAAAAACATTCTCTTTAAAGTGACTTTATTTTCTTTTCCAGATACCAATCTTTGCGGACATTAAAAGTGAACTAATTCTATTCGCAATATGGATAAATTTAGTCTTGTGAAACATCGTTCCGATGTCATAGTTGGTGGAAAGTACCGACTAAGTCGGAAAATTGGTAATTATTCTAGTAGTGTAAGGCTTATAAACTGACGTTTCAAAGTCTATATTAATGTTTTCTTCACGGTTAAGTAGTAGCACGTAAAGACCGAAAAATGTATAAGGCCAAATCGGGATTCAGGAGACTTTACAATTTACAAATTCTTATAAAAAAATTTAAAGACATATTTGAACATCGCTTAAAGATGATGATTGTTAATAAAAATTTGGAATCTGATGCAGATATTTCCAATTCACTTGAGTCATTTCGTAAGGGAACCTCAACTTTTACATAAATTAAACATTTTCAAACCGTTAGTTACGTAATGAAAATTACGATTACGTTCGACTGGTGTGTTTGTAAACGGTAGGAATTGTCGTGTTATCGACGTTTTGAAAAATCTCTCTAAAATATCAAATTTGGCCTTAATTTCTTTCCGTGTACAATTGTAATTTTTTCAAAAATCAAGGAAACCTGGCCATGTCTCTGTTTTCGAATAGGTTAAATCTACATTTAATACCTTTACATAGATAGATTTCTTGGACACACCACAGTGTGATTATGCATTTTCCATTTATTTTCGGTTGAAACCATCATTTTCATAACGTGTGTTGTTATATAGAAAGAGTTGTTAATCGTTTACTATTGAAATGCTTTCTGCATATATTCTTAGGATGCGATAATATTTTCCGAAATGATGACTATATTATTGTATTATTCAACATATTAATCAAAAATTGCGCATTAGACACGCCTGTGCATTATTTCCTTTTTTTATGTTGATTCGAACGCTGAAAAATACTCCTGGTAGATGATGATGACCACATACCAAGTTCAAGAATAGAGATGATCGCAGCCCTTCTTCAGGATCGATGTGCTTGCAGTATATATATCTTTCTAAATTTTGTAATAATTTTTACCAGGATTATCTAAAAATTTCCGGCAAATAGAATCATGATCTCTTAATTGATAATTTTACAAAAAAAAGAAATTTGGAATTATCATGTAATAGTTTTGGGATGGTGTGTGTGCATATGTATGGATATTAATTTGCAGTAGGTTTAGCTCCGTTTAGTATTTTTGAATATCCTGAATAGAATTTCATATAAGGAAAAGTATGCAAAATATTTTTCGGTTTTCAATATCATAATTTCCAGTTAAGCCTCTACAATTTGAACCCATAAAACTGCACTTGAATATCTTAATGAACATTTACTTGCATTGAAACGGTGAAAAGAATAGGTGTTCGATAGTTCGTGAAAATGAAGTTTTTCCGAGCAAACATATTAAACTTATTTTCTGTCATTCGAATAAAATTTAATGGAACAAGTGCAAAGGTTTCAAAAAATACTCGAGATGACTTGAGTTAACTTGACTTGCGTTTTTAAATCAAAAATATATTGAAATTTTGTAATAGTTTTGTATCATCACATAAACAACGATACATTTTTGTCCTTAGTTTCTTCGATTTAAATTTGATATTATTAACCAGTGAAATTTGCCGATCATTTCGTCGATGACGAGTATGCTCGTCAAATACAGATTATGTTTCAATAATTAAACAATAAGAATTAAATCGCTTGTTAATTAAGATTAAAATAGATTTATCTAATACTTATACCGATAAGTCTATAGGGTCGCTTTCATCACATATACATAATTAACAAAAATATGAAATAGATTTGGTGTAAGAAAAGTAGACCTAATCTCATAATTGCTAATTATGCTAAGAATTATAAAATTATCCTCTTGTCGCTCTGAACTTATATAGGCTAATAAATGCCCTGATATTGACTGTGAACGGTTTCCATAAGTTGACAGCGTCGATGAAAACTAGTTTTGATGATCATAAGTACTTATCGCATGGAAGAATTAAAAAGTTGCCATATACATTGAGTCTGTAAGATATAAGTAGGACAACAAGGCATTTAACTAAATCAACTCCATTAAAGTTTTAACATATATGTAATGCGCAATTAGGTTGTAATGCCACGGCTTGATAAAATGACAAAAGTATTTATAATGATAAAATTTGATGAAGAAATCCAACCAAGACGAATGGACAGATTATGACGTATGTATGCACTCATCGTACACAGTTAACTGGTTGGTTAAACCGTTTAAGATTGTTCTCTTATTTTAATATGAAACGAATTATTGTACATGGACTTGTGTGTTTTACAGTTTAAAAACTCGGGAGTATAAGATGAATTCTAAATTGACCGTGGAAGACTATGTCAATCTTAGAATAATGCGAATACATATTTTAAAGAAACTTTAAACTTTCGTCATTTTCTGTCCCAATCGAAATCACTTTTTTAAATTAATTACTGATAAATTTTTTTCTCGCTTCGCATATATTAAATATCAGAAATTTCTTATTACTAAAATTATTTATATTATTCGTATGTAGAGATATTTGCATGATAAACGTCAACTTTTCGAAAGTTTCAAACGACGAATCGAATATTTTCTAATCGCATCTACTGATTGGCGTCAATGGTGTTCTTTATTGGCATTCCAAAAATATATAGAATATGGTTTGCTAGTCTAGTGTCTTCAGGTCATTTTAAATTTGTGTGACTTAAGGTGTAATTGTTTCACATCTCTCTTACTCCTTTTATATTGTGTTTTCAAATACTTTTTTACGCTTGAAAGAGACTTTTAATTATCTTCATTTAGTACTTATTAATGAAATTTTTTTTTTTTTTTTTTTTTTTTTTTTTATTATAAAAAAATTAAATTATATTCTTTATTAATTTTGAAATTTATTAAATAGGAAGTGGTTCATTTGGAGACATCTATTTGGGCATCAGCATACAAAGTGGTGAAGAAGTCGCCGTTAAAATGGAAAGCACTTCCGCACGTCATCCTCAATTGCAATATGAAGCGAAATTGTATCGCATTCTAAGTGGTGGTGTGGGTATTCCACGTATACGTCATCATGGAAAAGAGAAAAATTTCCATATTCTTGTTATGGATTTATTGGGGCCATCATTGGAGGATTTATTTAATTTTTGCACTCGCCACTTTACTATTAAAACGGTGTTGATGTTGGTCGATCAAATGATTGGACGCTTGGAGTTTATTCATTTAAAATGCTTCATACATCGTGATATTAAACCGGATAACTTCCTTATGGGAATCGGTCGTCATTGCAATAAATTGTTTTTAATAGATTTTGGTTTAGCCAAAAAGTATCGTGATCCCCAAAGCCGAGTTCATATACCATATCGTGAAGATAAAAATTTGACAGGTACAGCTCGTTACGCCTCGATCAATGCCCATCTTGGTATTGAGCAATCTCGAAGAGATGATATGGAATCTTTGGGTTATGTTATGATGTATTTTAATCGTGGTGTGTTGCCATGGCAGGGAATGAAAGCCAATAACAAGCAACAAAAATACGAAAAGATTTCGGAGAAAAAGATGTCGACTCCTATCGAAGTTTTATGCAAAGGTTTTCCAGCAGAATTTTCAATGTATTTAAATTATTGCCGCAGCCTACGTTTTGACGAGCAGCCAGATTATATGTATCTTCGACAATTATTCAGGTAAGATTTTATTATAGTACAGATACAACCACAATACTGATAAGCATTGAACGCATTCATCATATTTTTTTTAAATAAAACGCGTTTTCATAATATGATGTTATACCAGGAAGGGGTCGGAAAAGTGATCCGATTCAAATCATTTTTAAAAACATTCGCCTTTGGACTAAAATACGGCAGTGTACCGAATTTCGTCAAAATATCTCAAAAATTGAGGCCTCCAGGTTAAGCACAAAAAATTGGGACGGACAGACAAGCTTCTTTTGATTGATTCAAAATCACTTTTTATAAGATAAACATAGCAATAGGTGGTTCTATCTCGAATCATATTGTCCTTAACATACCCTTGTACCGCAAGTGGTGTAGGCTACAAAAACTCGGTTAGGGATTCAAAAAATTTGTTCACGAATTATTTACGTTGATCTAAAATATTTGCACTAATTTATGTTTTTTTTTTTTTGTAGTTTGTTATCGATTATGTTATGGTTCTCGGATAATTAACAAACTGGTTTAAAATTTTGTTATCCCTTTGCACTTGAAGTTTTTTTTCATTCGTATTACAAGCCGCGAGCCGCGACCGTCATTTGTTACCAACAGCAAAACACCCGAATACTAGTTTTCACGATTTGTTTTTGTTTTTATGTTAAGAACTGCAAATTATTTACAATGTCTCCGTAGCGGAGCCCTCGAGTTTGAAGACTAATTTTAAATGGCTCTGCTCCGAAGTGCTCGAGCGCAAAGGGTTAATATGTCATCTTCTATTTCATCGCTAAGCACTAGCAGTAGAACATTTATGCCAGCAGCTTCGCGGTATGTGCTAATAAGAGAATCGATAACAAGCAATGCCGCTAAAGAACTCTGCGGTTGGTTGCCCCTACCTAAATCATATGTGAGAACAATAGAAAACACTTAATAGTGAGCTTAGGGCACTTCATTGAAGACAGTTCGAAGACGGATGGAAATAAAAACTAACTAGATCCGAGCGAAATCTGTTGATCCACCTTTTCTTCTTTTGCCTTGTTGAGAGACTCCTGTATTTAATATGGGCCCTTAAGCGCAACATTTCTTGATAATTCCGTATTGACATTAAAGGCAGTAGCCAAATTTATTACAAAATCCGATTAACCGATGTGGATAGCATACATCATCATTCCTTTGCTCCACACCAATATTCAGCAAATACAGTAGTAAGCATTCATTTCCAATATTAAGAAAAAAAAAAAAAAAAAAAAAAACCGAAATAGACATATTTTTGAACCCGTAAGTGGAAACGAACGCCGCCTACATGCGTATTTTATGCCACATCCAATCTTGACGGGCTACGCCCATCGCATATTTCAATGCTTAAGAAGCAAATAAATTTCTGACAGCTTAAAAGAAAAGCAAACAAGAGATATTTATACATTCTCTTGCATTCTTTACTCTCCAAAATTTCCGCTTTACGCGTATTTCTTAGAAATTAAATTCTTAAGCAGAGAGTAAGTTAATTGCTGCTGTGTGGCATTGGAAATTGCTTGTTTGCATATGATCAATTCTGCTTAGATAATAAATATATGTGAGAAAATGAGACGACGTGTTCTTAACGTTATCTTGCTTTCATATTCATCCAGCGAACAATAAAGATGTGTACTCTTCCAGTTCGTTTATGTATGATCTCTGTAAGTCTTTGTCTTCTTCGCTACTGTGATATTATAAAACAGTTGAGCGATGTTCGTTTAGTTTGCCAGTCATTTTTGTGCTTGTTGGACGCAAAAAGAAAATCGGAAAGGAATTATTATGAAATGAGTGTCAAAGCTCGCTCCCATAAAGGATACGAAATGAGTGATGGTGCAGAGACTCGAGAAATTGCAACGATTGCAACGAACGCGTGTAAAGAAGGAAACGAAAATTTGAAAATTAGCATACATTCTCAGTTTATTGAAATCGATTTCTTTCTCAGGCAATTACTTCATTAGATGCAGATGCATTAGAGCTGCTATTAATCATTCCGAGTAAGAATAGGAAGTTGCTCTGTTCTGTGTGTCTGTACTAGGATTGAGAGAGTATTTTTAAAAGATTAATAATGCAATCATGATTTATTTTCTAACATATTAATATAATATCTCTTAAATGATTAAATAATATATTTTTTTTTTAATTTCTCTATTCAGAATATTATTCCGTACATTAAATCATCAATATGATTATATCTACGATTGGACAATGCTGAAACAGAAAAATCATCAAAGCCAGCCGAATCCGGCTCTTATCTTGGGACAGGCTGAGCCTCGCAATGACCGTGAACGAGAAAGAGAAAAAGAGAAGGAGAAGGCAAGTGGCAAAACAATGCTGTCTGAATAAATGTTGTTGTCATTAATGGTAAAAATAGTATAAATGTAATTTTGAATTCACATCAAATCACACGCTATTATAAAAAAAAGGATTAAATTTGCATTATAAATAACGCTGCAAATAAATTTTGCATCAACATTCAAATGAAAAATTTATATATAATTACGATTATTATTAATACGAACAATATTGAATTATATCAATAAATGCTAACTGTGTTGAAGTTGAAAATAAAGGTAAATAGAAGAATAAAACAAACAACAGATATATATATATGTCTTCGGAATCCATAAAATGTAACAAAGAAAATAATTAACACACTTACACATGTTTCGTAATAAAATAATAGTAAAGCCGATGCACTTTTTTTTCTTCTTCTTCTTCTTCTTACATGCCCTTACATGCTGTCGACTCTTGTCAAATGATTTAGTTTATAATAAAGTATTGGACTAACGCAAATTTTTCCACGAAACAAATGCGTTCCCAGAAAGGGCGATCACTTTGCATAAATCGTATCAATATTTGGTATATTAGGTATTTGCAAAAATTTTAATCACTTTTTTTAGTTAGAGAAGGCATTTGTTGGGGAAAGTTGATAGTTTCGATCATTTCCTACAACATTTTACAATATTTTTGGCAGCATACTGGATATTGTGTCGAAAGAACATATATTGGCTTGGCAACGATCCACACCCGCCGACCCATTTTCGCACTTCTTCAACTTTACGAAGCCGCGTGCCGCCCCAGCCATGCTGCACCGATCTGAACAAGTAATCAGGGGGCGCCATGTCTAGTGAGTACGCTAGACGTGGGAGTACTTCCTTTTCGAACTGCAACAGTGTATCTTGGAGAACTCTTGCAAGAATTGGTCAAAAAATCGCATCTTTAGCCAATTCGTATAGCCACTTTTAAACCGTTGAAAGTAGAACCGATAATTGGGCTGCGATGAAGCAGCAACAAAGTCTTTGAAGGTGTTTAGTTGCCTTCGGTAGCAGATTTCTTCAAATAAACAACAAAGGTAAAAAATTTAGGGGAAGAACTTTGAGCACTTCCTCATTAGCATCATCGGCGTACATTAAATAAATCAAGAATGTTAGATGGGAAACAGTTATTTTATATAGAGGAAGGTCAAAACCATCGAATTAGACCGTTATTTTCACTAGTATTTCCTATTTCGTTATCATTTTTGCCTGCAGAAGGCGTTGATCAGAATTGTTGCAAACGACTAATATGCGAAGAGATTACAAGTTGGAAAACGTGGTTGGTCGACATCAACTAAAGTAAGTGATTACGAAAAGTGGCAGTTTCGAGTTTGCGAGTACGTGTTAATTGTATCCTGTGGGAGATAGTTCATTGATGCGTTTACAAGGGTATATTATACGTTAAAAATAAAATGTTCTTCGACTTTAATTGGTTGGATGTCAACATCGTCCGTCTTTCAAGTCACATTGGACTTAAGGTTTCGAAATTGTTAATTGGTCAATATTGGAATTGTGCACTATTGAAATTGAATAAGAAATTGTTTGCGGAGCTTCATCATAAACTTTTTCGTCTTCAAAATTTTTCATTTGTCTAATTTTAAAAATATACATGTTGGCCTTGATGAAAGTATTCCAACACACATTTAAAAAAGTTTAGAAAATCGCTCTCGCTATGCAAGCTGGAAGTAGGAATTTTCTAAAGATATTGCTGAGTCGCACGATTGTGCAGCTTCCATAATATACATGATGTGCCGTAAGAGTGAATCAAGGAATGATCCCTATGGGACCTCAATTATTATTTGATTTTTCCGCGCCGCATGTATCAACGTGCTGCTCGAAAGGTAATTTATTATTAAATCGAGTATGTATTTTGGAAATTTTACTCTTATGAGGGCCTCGAATACTTCCTCAATCTGGCAAATTAAAGGCGTTTTCTGCGTCAAATGACATCAAGACGAAGTCGCTTGACAATTTTTTGAATCCATACTGATTGTACGTGAAGGAACCACTATAATTAGTCACTAGAAATAGACGATCATACATAACTCTTTCCAATAGTTCGCACATTGTGATCCGTCAAGCGAATATGCCGGTACGACGATGGCCGTTTCGTCGGATTATCACCTTTCGAAATGAAAATCAGCTTCTGCATTTGTAGAGAAAGCTAAAGAGCTATCTGGCCGTAGTCGGAAGGCCTCTTATTTGCGTAGCATTCATCCTGGCTAGGACTCTCCAAATTCAAGCTTTTCTACATTAGCCCATTCCTCCGACCGTAGAAGTCTACGGCAATGTAGGCCGGTGTTTGTTTGGAACGGATATCACCGAGTGCTTTCGAGCTGGTTCGTCCCAAGAAAATTTATAAATATGAAGGCCTAACACCGCGGGACTATCGGCATAATTAAAACGGTGAGCTTTCTTTTTTACTTGAGAAATTCTTTGTCTTACACCTAGGCGGTTACGATAGTACAGGCGTGCAAAATACAGTAGCGAAAAATGAAACAGCGGGCGCGGTCAGACAACATTTTGCGACTCGCATTATTATTAGAACTCGGCATAGTCCTTTACGTGACCAGACACTTGGCTCTACGTTTTACTTGGTTTACCCGTTCTCTCTCATTGCTGGAATACAATGATAGAATGGTAAACGTTTCGTGTAAGTTTTGGAATATATCGAGAATATATGTATGACCAATACTTGTGATTGTAATTATAACATTAAACGGAATCGATTTAGAAAAAACAAACGTTTTCGATAACAATAACGGATTAAATGATAATAAGGAACAATATGTGTGTTAACAATGCAAATAGTGACAACGATAGCCTAGCGTTCACACATAGATGACTTGGTTAGCTACACGACACCTGCATCCCCAATGATGCCTACAGAGGTCGTCAAGGGAAATTTTCGTCGCGAACTAGATCGTAACAAACCAACTGCTTCGTTACACACAGCGAAGGTACTATTTTTTGGCGTATGAATCGACAAGAAACTTCTGGCGGGTTGCGTTTTTTCATTTTCCTCAGTGTGACTCATTCATTGATATCCGTTTTCCGACATACGTAATAGACACCCCTTCTTTTTTGCTGCTTTTTATCGCTTTTTTCAAGTCGCGCCATAGATTCTTATGACTGATTTGTTTTCGGAGCTTAAGCTCCCTCCGGATCGATATATTTTCCTTTTGGCCATCAAATAATCCTTCTTAAGTGAATCCATTTCCTTGGTTCTTTATTGGTGGTTCTTCAGACACTTCATACACCTTAGTGAAGACGTCGTTTACATTTTGCACTGACTGATCTGGTATTCCCTCTAAAATTCCGTGGGAGTCCCTTAATATATTAAAAATTGTTTCATCTGAGGATGAAACCCGGGGCTTTAGATCATAACCAACCCGTGTTTCTTTGTCATCGATATTTAGGGATATCGCATGGTGGATGGTATTCGTGCAATGCTTATTTAGCTACTGTTTCGACCTCATCACTAAACCATTACTACTGTTATCAATTTTTGAGCTTGTTTCTGGCTTGCTGAACGTGTCTTAGGAATCGTCATTGACGACTATCACCTGTAGCTCTGCGTATGCCAGAAAGGATGTCCGCTACAATCCCATCTGTTATACAGTGTAATAGTTTCTGCATACAACTTAAGGGAGCATAGCATTTGTGGTAGAATACAATCTCGTTTATCCTCGTTCTTACAACGCCCCTTTGCCGGTAATCTTCATCGAAAGACGGTGATGAGACTCTTGCAGCAATTGCAAATGCCAGGATCAGTTTCCTCTTTGCGTCCATTTGCTGGAGAGAGTCTTGAACTGCTTTACCATGGATGAGATTAATATGCATTGCTTCCATTTACGACATTTAATGGCTAATACGCTTTTCAGCTGCCACTTCCCGCTAGATGTGCTCTTCGTACATTTTTTCTTACTTGTGGTGGTATCTTCTCCCCCTGTGAATCCCGACTTGCAACGGTCATAACTTAACCGGTCATCTTCTGCAATAGCGACCTTGATGTGGAGGCTATATTGCACCGTTGACATCTGCAAACCGAAGTGCGAAAAGCCGCGATTACGCTCAGTTTATATAAGCGGTTAGTACTTAATATACTCCTTTCATATGAGTGAATAAATTAATTACCTTATGTCATAAAGGCAGTCCATATAAGATTCTAGATTTTACCAAATCGGCGCTAAGATATTTCGAACTTTGCTCAGAACACATATATACTGAGCGTTAGCCACGTTAACGCTACCGCTCCATTTGAAATATAAGTTCAATGACTGCTTTATATTATAATTATACCGCCTCCTGCTATATTAAATCAACGCCACCTACCTATACCGTAATTCGTTAAATCTTCGTCCTGAATCTCATTAGGACCGCCTCTGTTATTTATTCCACAAAATTCGGGGCTACCAACATTGTCATATTAAGACGATATCATTTGCATACTCCACGATTTCCCTGACAGGGTTCGATCGAGCAATCAGCTTCGGTAAAGAGGTATTCTTTGCATCCTGTGTGTGATGCGTACAGGAGTTTTCTGCCTTTAAGACATATTCCTCCTCCTCTCTTCAATTCCAGCGATATTTATTGGTAGTAAACGGAATTATATTTTCACGTCCAGCGACAGTATTCTTCTTTACTCTTGTCTCCCTAGCCCTTCTTTCTCTCCTTTCCCTTCTTCCTTTCGCAGGAATTTAATCTACACTTTTCCCCCACTATATATATATATATATGTATATATTTTCCCTCCCCCCCCTCCTATACCACCCCAAAAAAACAATTGAAAAGAAAATTCCTCGATTCGCTGACATAAAAACAAATATAAAATTAATATGCGAATTTCAGAGATTAAATATTTATCTCTTTATGTAGTTGCGTAATTTGCTAAAATATTATTGCATCTTTCAACCAGCTCACTAATTTATTTTAGATTCATGGCAACCATAATCGCCCAAAAGATAAAAGACTTAAGCTTATGGCAACACTACTGGCAAGTCTATGGAATTATTTTCTTTCAATAATTTTTTTTCCGAAAACTTGAGTGAATTTGTTGCAAAACTATGCAAAAAAACTTTATTATGTTGAATTTGTTCTACTTAAGTATTTGTTCTAATATTCGGGTGGTGTACAACTTTTGTAAGCAGAAAAATACTTGTATGAGATATATATATATATATATATATATATATATATATACTCTGTGTGTGTGTGTGTGTGTGTGTTTGTTTTATTTCATATAACGTATATGAATTATTTTAGAGAATCCACTCAAAATTTCAGTTCTATATATATACATATATACGTATGTAATATATGTATACAGTATAGATATATATATTAATAAGTTTATATATATGTATATATAATGTCATATAGAATTCCAATTGTTTAAGATTATGTTAAAGTATGTATTTCGTTTTTAAAAAATCGACACGAAAAACAACTGCGAATAATGCATGCATTGCCCGTTCTTATGCACGTAGGTAGATAGACAATGCAACTACTGTGTATTATTTGATACGCAGTTTGTTCCTCCCTTATATAATTTTCATTATTTGCGAGCGTATAAAAAACACTTGGCGAAATACAGACTAAGCTAAAAAGTTACCCAAAAAAATATTTTAATAATTTTGATAATATTTCAGAAAATAAATATGACGAAGGATTATGATTATTTGTTGAAAGTGTTATTGGTGGGTGATAGTGATGTTGGGAAACATGAAATATTGTCTGGACTCGAGGACGCATCTTCTGAAAGCCCATTCTGTAGTGGAAATGGTAATTTAATGTATTTTTACATATTCTTAAGTTGATTTTAATTTTTGTTAAATTAGCTTACAAAACAACCACCATATTATTGGAAGGCAAAAGAGTGAAATTGCAATTATGGGACACATCTGGACAAGGACGATTTTGCACCATTATACGCTCCTATTCGAGAGGAGCGCAAGGCATCATTTTAGTTTACGATATAACTAACAAATGGAGCTTTGATGGTATTGATAGATGGCTTAAAGAGGTGGAAGAGGTAAAATGCAAACATTTACACAAATGTATGGAACACAGTTACACACGAAAGTGTGTCACTTTGTTCGTTTATTATTTTCTTGATGAGTGTTAAATTCAATTTACACATAGTTGGCTGTCTCCTATGATATTTCATTACTATTATAATAAGAACAAGTAAGAATCGGGACCGAATTTTTTACAATTACCGTCGTTATCCTAAAAAAGACAAAATAAGTAAAAAAACGAAGTTTTCATTATCTATGAAATGGAGTGGGCGCGGCTGATTTTTCTACTTTCAAAATAAAAGATTCTGTCCCATAAGCGTGTTCTTAGAAAAGTTTTTAGTCACTTATTATTATTATTATTATTATTATTTTACAAATTTGTAAGTGATATCTTGATTTTCGCTATACTTTATGGGATTTCTAAAGATTGTATTGAAAAAAAAATTTAATTTTGATACTCTGTAACATTGGTTAAGCGTGTTTAATTTTTTTCATTTTTGTACATGTGCTACAGCATCGCCTAAAGAATACGTCTTCAAATTTTTACACATTTCACTATAGCCTATGAGTAATGAGTAAAAAATCAATTTTTCGTTCGCTTTGGAAAACAGAGGTAGTGGTGCGGGCGTGTCTTTCGACCGATTTGGCCCATTTTCAATGCCGACCTGCGTGAAAGAACTTTCAATATTTCTGCCAAATCTGAAGTCGATAGTTTCGTTTTCGCGGAAAGGACAATGTTTACAACAGACGTTATAGAGACGGACGGACATGCTTAAATCGATTTGAAACTTGATGCTGATCATGAATGATGATATCTTGTGGGGTCTCTAATGCTTCCATCTGGGCGTTGCAAATGTTTGGACAAAATAGGTATATTTCTCATCCTTCCGTTATGGGTATAAAAACACAAAACACTTTTAAATGAAAGTATTATGTTAGCTGATGAGATCCAGATGATACTGCAAAATTACTTTCTGATATGTAAACTATTTCTTAGCTTATTGTAAGTGTGCTTGTTCTATTCCCGTCTACCATGACAATTTTCATAACTATTTATGTGAACTTTTAATCCAGTGTCTACAATGGAGTGTAATCTATATTTTTTCGCAAATGTAGACGAACTGCTTCCATTTTCAAAATTATTCCATGGTTGTCAATTAATAGATTTGTGTTTCAATTTCAACTTTACCGACATTGAGTATGTAAGCAACGATTGGGAAGTAGATGAACAACGCGAAACAGAAGCAAGAGTATTCTGTTAATTTATACGGTATATATATGTGCGTTGAAAAAGTGACTGACAGGTATTATGAATGAAAAAGCTAACCTAGTACCATCTCAATTATCTGATAGTAGATGTTAAAAAAGTATATTTTAGTAAGATTACATGTTAAAGCTGCAAAAATATTTTTGCCAGTGAACAGTGTTCAGCATTATCTTTGGCCTCAAAGGAAATATGTTGTTGGAAAGCCCAAAATAAATTTGTCATCTTATGAGGTTTAAAATTAACAAACAAAAAAGTTTGTCTAAAAAAATGTGAAATCTTCGACAATGTCGCGAAACGAAAACGCGGATTGGCTTTCTGTTCACACATCTGAAGTATCGCATACTAGTTGGAGGTTGCTGTTTATGTGCTCCATCTCAACGCCTAAATAATTGTATTATTATTTTTTAATTTCTTAAATTGAAAAAGTATTAAGAACATATTCGAAGGTGATATACTTTAATTTTTAACAAGTTGACCTAACATTTGTTTTTTTTTTTTTTTTTTTTTTTTTAAATACAGCACGCTCCTGGCATACCGAAAGTACTTGTAGGTAATAGACTTCATTTGGCATTTAAAAGACAAGTAGCAGCTAAGCAAGCCGAATTATATGCATCTCGTAACAACATGTCCTGCTTCGAAATATCTCCTCTTTGTGATTTTAATATAAGAGAATCGTTTTGTGAATTGGCTCGAATGGCTTTACATAGAAACGGTATGGAAAGGATATGGCGAAACAATAAGGGTAAGTACAAATCATTTTCTAAAACGATTTAAGCTTGCCTTTCTGTCTGTCTGATGTCTGTCCTGCATTTTGGGTTCCCAATTTTTGAGATATTTTGCCAAGATTTGGTATGCTGATGCATTTTCATCCAAGGGCGGGCACTATTCAAAATAGATTTGATTAGCTCGCTTTTACATCTACTGACTATTAAAATTTTTTCTCGACAAAAATCTCTAAGTATCGTAATTTTCGAACTATAAGACGCACCCCTTTACATAGAAAAATGGAAATCAAATTTTGGGTGTTTAGAGTGTCACTGCTATGCTGTGCAATGTTATTTATCCAAATGGTTGATCGTTTAAGTATATTTTGTTTATTAAAAAAACATTTTTCAGTTCTATCTCTACAAGAGCTATGCTGTCGGACAATCGTTAGGCGTACTAGCGTGTATGCAATCGATTCACTTCCACTGCCGCCGTCTGTCAAATCAAATTTAAAATCTTATGCTTTGACTACGTCGCAATGCTATAATTCTTTAAATCATAATACGAAGCATAAAAATCGATCAAAGACGCCAACAAGCAGCGGCCGCAATAGCTGCAATATTGCGTGATTATATGCTCCAATAAAGCCAGACACATATTTTCAAACGTTTACAAAGTATTTATTTTTATTATAACTCATTAACATATTTATAAAGTTAAATAACTATCTCAGTAATCTATAGTTGTTAAATTTATACTTTTTGTTTATATCGATTTTTATTTTCTATTTATAAAATAATGAAAATATACATGAATGAGCATAAAATTAAATAGATTTACAATTGTCTTACAATATGTACGGGAAAGGGATATACATTCACATTTATACATGTATTCAATACATGACGCGACATGTAAAAAAAAAAAAGAAAAGAATTATAATCAAATCAAACGATATTTTCCTTCTTCCTATTTTAAAGGAGGAGATTCATACAAAGCATTCCTTGAATAATAATGAAAATATTGCAGAGTTTGCCTCAGTTACGAATCATGGCTACTATTTGCGATTAAGTTAAACAAAAGAGATTGAAATGTAAGAAAATAAATAAATAAATAAATAAATAAATTGGTCGTGAGCTTCATTCACCCGTAATCTACATCATCTATTTTAGGTAGATATTTAATGTAATTACCGCATCCGCGCATCCCTTCGTTACACATGAATTTAAAACTTTAGTTTATTAATATCTCGTCTTAGTCTTAAAAAAAAAAAAAAAATTTATTTGCATACATTAATAGCAGCGATGAACGAGCGGGTATCCTTTCTCTGTATATTTTTTTACAGGTTAGTGTTCTATAACGTGACTTTTACCAACACGATCTAGTCTACATTGAGAATTTCACACAGACTTTATGGGATCTCTTTGATTAGTAATCGCAAAAAGGCAAAATTAAGATACTTCCTATACTGTATATAGTGATTATAGTAAAACGAATATTTGCGCCTATCCAGTAGATAAGCGAGCCGCAATTTCTCCCACCTGCTGAGGTAATTGCAAAACAAAACAAAAAAAAAAAAAAATACCTTACTAGACCTTAAAAACATAAGTTCACATATTATTCGAAATATTAAAACAAAAAAAAGTGTTCTTTTACATATATGAATGAATTCAAGTAATAATATGAAATGAAGAAAAATAAAAAAACTAGTTTTTTCTTTTTTGTTAATTCTTACATTTAAATTTTGCGAAAAAAAATTAAATTGTCAACAATGATCATCCGATGCAATCTGCAATTACTAAATAAGATGCGAAAAACTTCATAACAATCGATAGGAGTTTTGAAACGTTTATCTGAATTCGAAAATTTCCGTGCACTTTTGCGGTACGTGATTGAGTTCGATCGATTGATATAGTTCTGAGGATTTATGATAATAATATCCTTCTACATTACCCGTTGATTTTGTAAAGCAAATATAATAAAAACCAGCAAATGAGGCCCCATTAATATCCCGTATAGTGTGATCAGGAACAAGAAAGTGTTCTTTCCAACGCATAAACACATAATTGCTTTTAGCTAATGCGTTGTAATCAAATTCAGACGAATCGAACGTACTTTGATATTCTTCAAAAGCCTTAAATTTTCCCTAAAAACAATTAGAAATGAATCATATAAATATGTAACGATCGTGTTCATTTGTTTTACCCAATGTGCTTTATCAGTTTCTTCATTTGCTTCCCATTTTTTTGTTAAAAACGGATACTTCTCAGAAATGATCTCACCATCAAAGAACGTAGTTAAAGTGGGAAATTCAAAGGTGAGTCCGTTTATTTTCAAATATCCGCATAGAAAGGAGTTCTCCAAATCAATGTGCTGAAAGTTAAAAAAGAAAAAAAAAATGTATCAACTCTTGATCTTTATTCTTTAATTAAGTCGGCTTCATCTAAAATACTTTACGATATGTCCGGTCCGTATCAAATGAAATTTAACGAAACTATACGATTATATCAGTTCTTTAAATGCTGAAAAATATTCAAAGCGACTATCTGTATGTAAAAAAAAAGAATATTCTAAGACCAATAATTTAAACAAAAGTTATTTATTTATATTCATGAGGGGATTAGAATTGTTAAAGCGCTGAACATAGTGAATGCATTTGCCCTCGTGCAGCATGCACTCTCGAAGGTCAAAATATGATTTTATTGTATAGGTTTATATGTAGTTGAATATGTAGATAGCCTTTTCTTGTGCGGGGCGGCTTGCAGTTGGAGTTATTTGCCCTTTGAACTCTGCGTCTCCTCACACTCAAGTAATGCATTTCGACTTTTAGTTTTAGATTATCTTACTGGCATTACATGTGTATACGGACGTAAAGTAGGGAGGAGAACTTTTTTTTCCACTTAAAACTTGCTGTGTTTTTTTACCTTCATTTATTTTTTAGTATATTTTGCTGAGCAGACAATTCTAATGATATGCTTAGTACAGTATGACTATATGTATTTGTATATATAAAATATTATGGGTAATTTTACATATTTGGATTTGATTATCCTATGCGATACACGTATACTTGTTTGGAGTAATGGCCTGGTATCGTGTAAAAAAAAGCAAAATAACTAAAGATCACAATTGAACAGCATCTATACCAATATCGTATGTAAGTCAGCTTGACTATCGGAATCAATTATATGCTCAATTTGCTATTAACGGAGCTTCGTTCCGTGATGTATTCTTATCAACATGTTTTGACGTATTGCGGCTTTTCTATGGTCCAACCAAGCAATTTTAACATTGATATTCTAGATCTTTCCTTGCAGATTTTTTCCATACATTTTTCAGAATAGATTGCTAATTTCCAACAGTTTGCCTGCAGTGGTATAGATCATCCTTCCTTTTCACCACATATATCAAGCCTCAGGCTTTCATTTTATTATTTTTTATCTAAATAAATCAATTAGAGGCCTACAAATAAAATGTGAATTACGAAAAAACTGCTCATTTGTTATTGTTTGTGATTTGAAAATTATTATTGAAGTGTTTTGATCAACGCTTTTATAATTGAATAATGGGGAATTATAAAGATAAAAACAACGAATGAGTACCTGGGCAAGTGAACAGGATTGGTGACATTTACAATTCTTATGCTTATATTATTATAAATACATCATTCTTATAATAAATAGCGTTAGGAAAAACATTCCGCATATGAGACATGTTGTGAGCTTTCGACACACAATAATGCAAATCTAATCATAACCAGTAGATAGAAGAGACTAATGGTATATAAATCACAAACCTGGAGAATTACTTCCACGTCATACGATTTTCCCTGCGATTTTTGAAAACCTTGGAACTTTGATCCATTGTAAAGAGTATGCGTTGCAAGTCCATCTTGTCTGGAGTTGGCCAAAAAGGGGGGTGCGGGATCCTCTTTAATTGGCATACCAGATGCGTTATTGAAAAAAATTGTGACGGCTTTTAACACACAACAAATAAATAGAAATATATCGAATTATTATTGTCGATTTTCTAATCGAGTATATATTTATAAATGAATATCAGGAAAGAATCTCGAAATATTTTTATTAGTGACATTAAAAGCAAAACAAAAAAATAAAACACCCCACAATTAGAAATGTCAAATTGACAACCAAATGTTTTGCACAGGCTTCTCATTTTGCTTCTTTTTGGACATGCATTTCATATTACAGTATTTAATTGTAATTAGTAGTGGCTATTGACATTTTGTAATTTTTATGACATTTTGCATTTTGCAAGCTGAGTAAGTTTTTTAATATAATTATTATTGAAAGGCATACATATGCATACATAAAAACATGTATTAAAAATAAATTAATTGATTGAATGAAACAATCTGTACTGATAGTGCTTTTAAAAAGTGATCGCTTTTCAGTTTGATAATTGCAAAGATTGCAGTTTTTCTGTCAATAGTATTGTTATTAAAGAATTCCATTCCGTTTGTGCGTGGTGTTTGCATTCTCTTAATCATCAGTAAAAAAATCATGCATTCGTCTAATATGAAAACTCTTTCTAATTGGTTTTTATTCAAACGTTAAAACTATCATATTTTCACTCCAGGTTACTTTCTTACTTGAGTCTAAATTTTGTTTAACAAAGAGTTTTTTAATCATTCACATTTTTAACATCTTGACATTGTTTTTGTAAGAATGGGTTCGTAGATGTAGCAAATTATACATATATATATATATATATATATATATATACGAAAACAACTATTCCTTTTCATTTTTTACTATTGTTAAATGTATTTGATTCGAATCACCAGAAAGAATACAATTACCGCTTAAAGCAGTAAGCATTGTTTCCCATATACTGCCTAAATCATCCCTGTCTCAATGCAAACCGACCGAATATAAATGTACGCATATATTTATACATATATAAATAAATACATACGATCAGTTTGCAAAATAGAATTAGTTCGTTCGTGGTAGAGATCAATTAAATTTTAATTTACTGAAGATGAATTATGGATTTAAAGAACAACCGAGGGGCTTCGCAACAAAAGCTATCCATGTCGGCCAGGAACCGGAGCAATGGAAGAGTTTATGTGTAGTTCCGCAAATATCTCTAAGTACAACTTTTAAACAGGATGGTCCAGGAGAGCATAGAGTAAGATTTTCACAAGTGCACATACATTTTTTGTGATTTGATGTAATGAATAACAAAAAGTTATATATTTACATATATATTGAGGGTATGAATTTGAACTCTCCGCTCACACACGTGGCAAACATGCACAGATTATCGATCATGCATTGAGTGAAAGTTGAAAATTGCGTTCTGAGATCAGGCTAAACCACATCACAAAACTCTCAAAAAAATATCATCTTTTTATAAAGAACTGATCGTGGTCTGCATAATTTCGTTTTGGACGTCATTTTTTTTGTTTTTTTCATCGACTCCCTACCGGCATTCATGACTTTAGACAGATCTAGACATTTTGCATTTAGAATTCACTCACCTTTTGCTACTGGCTTGTACGAAGATTCAATGAAATTACTAGTATTGTTATATAAATATTTGTATGCATAGATTTCCGTGGAAATGAGAGAGCGGTTTGGAAATTTAAGGTTATAATGTTATCTCTACACAAAATAATTTACTAAACCGGATAAGATTGAAATGAAATCTATTTTTAGCCGGCACTTCCCAAGGAGACTAGATTTTCATTTTACACAATTTTATTTAAACACACTTGCGTATACACCTAAGCGTGATCACTCAATTTTGTTAAATTAGAGTTATTTCATATAAACGAATTTAGAATCTTTGTTCCGTGAAACGACGTGATGACTTAAAACGAACACTTGTACAAAACTTTTAGAAAACAATTTTTTTTTTTGCAAGAAAATTCGCATTGTGGCTAAATTTTACATTCTTATTACTTTAAAGAATTTTTGTTTTTATTTCTGAACATATAAAAACACTTGTGGGAATCGTTTCGCTCGTGAACTTTTTGAATATTCTTATGAACCCTCGAAGTAAACAATATAATATAAACACAACAAGTCTTAACTTTTCATCTCAAATTCCGCGACTTTAAGGATCTCATAAACAATCTAAAGATTAAATTTAACTAACGTAATGGGGGTGTATTGTTGGAAATGTCTGGAAAGCTTTTATCAAGTTCAAAATATTGAAATACTATAGTTTTGCTTTAATCAGACTTAAGATCCACTTAACAGTTACCGCCTGCGGATGCAATCTTTCTATTTCAATAACCTTTAAGTGGTCTTCAAGAGCGTAGAAGTGATTTTCCCTTGTTTTCTTTGTTTTGGATGATAGCGATTGTGACTGCATCTCTGTTACTAAAACCAAGAGCTAAATGTTTGATATCCAGTGTTCTACATAGTTCTTCACCGTTTAACTTTTCCATCTCTCCGAAGTGGTCTTCATTCCCAAAAGTGAAGATATTATTTTCGATCAGTCTAAAGTATCAATTACATTCCAAAGGGGATTAGTAAACGTCCTTCCTCAATTAATGTTTTGTAATGAAAATTTGTTCATGGTAGTAATTTAGCACAAAAAATACGTGAACAAAATTGGAAGCACATGAACCGCATTTCTTGGATCCCAATTTATATAAGGTTTCTCCTGAACAGCCCCTCAGAAAAAGATTTAATTTTTAATATTTTATAATAAAAATTGGTCCATAGTAACAAGAAAAAAATTATGCTTAGGAAATTTGGATCACGTAGACCACATTTTTTAGACCGCATCATACAGGGGCTATCATGGACAGCAAGCCGTGATACGGAAAGAATATTTTGAAGTTTTTATGACCTTAACTGAAAAACAATAACATTTTTAGGAAGTAAATTAAACTTGTCAAGTTTGGATCTTGTCACTCCACTATGCGGGTTTTCATGAAAAGTTGGCCTTTGCATGGAAATAATATGTAATGTAGAAAACGAGTGAATAACGGTACCTAGGCGAAGTGGTTAATGGTATATAATCGTCGACCTTGCCCTATTATAATATTTTTACATGTTTTTATTTTCTATTCGACTATTATTTATTTATGAATTTATTTTTATTATTTGATTACGTAGGGCTTCGAATATTCACGAAGCGGAAATCCCACAAGAAATGTACTAGAAAAATGTTTAGCTTCTTTAGACAATGCTAAATATGGTTTAACATTTGCCTCGGGATTGGGTGCGACCACAACAGTTTTGACTATGTTGTCTAGCGGAGATCACATTGTAGTTGGAGATGATGTCTACGGTGGCACCAATCGTTTGATAAGGTAAAAATTTATCTAAATTAATTTACCTTCCTATACTACTATAACTAATATAAGCAATAGCGCTATGAAGAATAATTGTATATATTTGTAATTCTTTACCTAATTATATTTAAGATCTGTATTAAACCTCTCTCTCTCTCTCTCTCTCTCATACTTTTAAAACCTGAGAATCGGATTGAACCGAGGTGGTATGAAGAATTTTCCAGAGTTTAATTTAGAGCAGCCCTTGAATAAGTCGTTAGCTTTATCAGTTATCAAGTTACTATAAATTATTCTTACACGGGATTTTTAGATTGATCGAATTATCGTCTAAGCTACAATTCAAATTAAAACGTATTGCAAACCATAGATTAGTTATAATATTTCGAGCTTCTCGTTTCCTGCAGTTGCGACTGAAGTCCAGCTATATTGAAAGCTGATTTTTTATTTATATCGCATTTTAGCTTTTCAGATTAATGATTGCTGCAATTTCAACAACTTGAACGTACCACGTGAATTTCGTTAATAAGTTTCTTTCAATATTTCATTTATCAAATTACAAACAGCTCGTTATTGTTTGTTTAACTTACCAGCTTCAATTTACACTTTCAAATGATATAGGCAAGTTGGCACTAGACTGGGTATTGATGTTACTTTTGCCGACCCGTGTAATCTGGACGAATTTTCTAAAGCCATTAAACCAAATACTAAAGTAAGTTTGTCGAAGAAGAAAGGTACCAATAATAAATCCCCGCTTTCATTTTCAGTTAGTTTGGGTCGAAACACCAACAAATCCATTAACGAAAGTAGCCGATATTAGAGCATTAAGCGCTATCGTTCATAATAAGGGCGACATCATTTTGGCTATCGATAACACATTTTTAACATCGTATTTTCAGCGTCCGCTTGAGTTGGGCGCAGATCTAGTTTGTTACTCTTTAACTAAATACATGAACGGTCACAGCGATGTCGTTATGGGTGCTGTAACAATGAATTCAGAAAACTTGTACGATCGGCTCAAATTTCTTCAAAACGGCACGAACTTTATTTTAATGAATTGAATGATTGATTGATTAATAATATAAAATTTTAGCTGTGGGGATTGTACCTTCACCTTTTGATTGTTATCAAGTAAATCGTTCCTTGAAAACTTTAGCCTTACGCATGGAACAACATCAGAAGAATGCGATTGCTGTTGCAAAGTTTTTAGAAAGCCACGAATTCGTTGAAAAAGTGTTGCATCCAGGATTGCCGTCACATCCCCACCATCAACTTGCTCTAAAACAGACTTACGGTTACAGTGGCGTGTTTTCTTTTTACCTTAAAGGTGGTCTGAACAATGCGAAGGCTTTCCTAAAGGCTGTTCATGTTTTTACTTTAGCCGAGAGTCTCGGAGGTTATGAAAGTCTAGCTGAACTACCGTAGGTTTTTAAAGAATAAAATTGAAAAAAATTTAAATTCATTTCTTAACTGAACTATTTCTTTTTAGAGCAATAATGACACACGCTTCCGTTCCTGCCGAAGATCGCAAGAAACTTGGTATAACTGACTCTTTAATTCGATTATCAGTTGGTCTGGAAGACATTGAAGATTTGATAGCCGACTTGGAACAGGCTTTAGACGTGGCAAAAAAGTTCTAAAAATTATGAAATTGGAAAATCTTATCATTCCGTTTCTAATAGCCTGAAATCCGTATGAAAGACCCCGTAAGCTATGTACATACATTGTAATAAATATTATTTGGAAAGAATTTTGTTTTTACTTTAAAAGGAAATTGAGAACTTTTTGCTTTTCACCATAAAAGATTTGTCGTAGAATGTGCATCAGCGATCTTACACCATTCATTTTTGGTCAATGTAAGACAACTTATCTATGACGGTGACTAGTTTTCATAGCAACACCCATTCAATTTAAGTTTAAAACTTGGCACATCCATGACCGCGCTACAACCTCGAAAGTTAACACGATGTTTTCATAGGAAGCGAAAGCTCTTAATATTTTACAGATCCATGTAAGATTGGGCGTAAGGAGGGTACAGATCTAATAACTCACACAACTACGCAAGCAATGTAAGCATTTCCCTTTCGCGAATTATGGCCAACAAATAAATGTGTCGAGTCTAGTTACTTGCTGATGAGAATACAACGTATGTAATGGCCATTGACCCAATAATCATGCTTGAAATCAATTGCGAATAAAGGAAGATTTCGCTTCGTTTTCTTTATTTGTTAATGGGATTACATATTCACTCCCATTTTCTTTCACAATCTGCAACATGTGGGACATTCCTGGATAAACGCAATTTTACGCCTAACTTTATTGAGTGTAACTAGGTCTAGAGCTGCTAAAGTGGCCGTAATTTATTCAACAATTCAAAAGGCACTGACTGCACTTGTAAGCTATATATAAATCATTATAAACAAACTTTATTTACATATATACACAGCCGGTCTATATAAGTATATCGCTACATTAGAAGCTATTGCACTCTATATCCTTAGCTTGAAACGAAATTGTCAACTATTTATTTCGTTACAATTACCATTCAATGATAATTTGCTTATTGACTCTTCTAATGGCACGTATGATGTTGCCGTTGCGTCATCTACATTATTATTAAAGACATTGTCAGTGCTCTCCGTAAGATTCAACTGTTCACAACTACCACTGTAAACGTTAATGGACTTGTAAATTTCCATATCTTGCTCGATATCATCTAAAAATTCTTCCTTTTCTTTCGTCATTTGTTCATTCATCGGTTCAAAGGTCAAATATTTTAATTTCCATCGTCTAGGCATGCTACGGGAGGTTTTATCGAAACATTTGCGAACGATTATCACATCCGGCACGTGTTCTACGCCAAGTTTTTCAAATTCTGCTTCGTTAATATTGCTATCTTGTAAACTATAAGCCATTACCGAATCCCCTACGTTTAGCAAATATCCGAGATATGTGCGTGTATGCACAGCGTGCTCATTGAGACCCAGTTGCGTAGCTTTAATTAACCAAATATCAAAAATTCTTTGGCTATATGAGCTATCTTGTTGACGTGATGATCTTATGGGTTCAATATCCATGATTATGTATTCAATTAGTTGACGAGGATTACAGATGGCTTCAAAAGGTGAACGAAAGAAATGATTAGCACTCAACTCGGCTTTTTGCCCGGTCAATGGATCGATAAGATGTGCACATGACGTAACTTTGTGAACCAAACATATAGCTGGCATAGTGCCTAATTGGTGGCGTAATTTCTTTGGTAAACACACCAAACTATCTCTAGAAAGAGGAACAATTTCAACCGACCAGGTATATTTGTAATAGTGTACATTATTATTGTGATCGTGTTTAATCAAACGCTTAGAAAAAGTTATTTTAATTGGTACCGTGGCCTCAAGAAAATTAACAAATTTTCGAGCGTTTTGCTCATTAGAGAAGTAAAAATCTAAGCCCCCATGCATTGGTTTGATACCCAGCGTATGATTATGGGCGCGATGTTTTAATATCATTTGCTCTAAATAAAAGTAAGTTTTTAGATTTTCAGCGTGCTGACGCACTTGGACGACACAACGCCAATAATCTTTAGCTTCAACGCGATGACATTCCGAACACATATGATATTGTACAGTATATTCAATAATGACGCCCTGCTTGAGGCCGGCATACTCCCCTGTTTCGAAATAGACTTTTAAATCTATTTTGATTCTTTTCGAATGCGGTTCCGTCCACAAGAAGTCAGCACATGACACCTTTAGATCCTTTAGTCCGCGCACTTTTTTTAAACACAAAGTCATTAACTCAGGTGAATTTAAAGAAGCTTTTATCCATTCGTCCGGTGGTTGCAAATACCTCTCGCATTTCCGGCAGTATTGGAGCACGGCCTGTTTAGTTATATTTGCTGTAATGTCCACATGCTCATGCAAGCAAACGAAGCACATATTCTTAAGATTCGGCTCTATCAGTATTCCACAGTTACAACACAATATTTTACTGGCAGTTTTATAGCCGAATGTGTGTGCATCGGTTAAATTATTTTTATTAGGAGAACGTTTAGCACTGAAATCCACGTATTCCATTATTTTTAAAATCGTATATTACAACAAAACACAGGGCTTCCAATTACAATATTATAAGAAATTATTTCATCAATATTTGCAAACAACAGCTGACACCGCTTTCTAAAAAGAAAAGACGAAAAACTATTGCCAATACGTTTTGAATTTCCTTGGAATAAATATTCTGATTTGCGGGATACGACCAAGATAACAAAACGATTATCGGCTAAGCTAGACAGATAAAAAAAAGATAAACAAACGTGTAATCAGATATATATCGATCTAAAAGTATAATCAACTTATAAATAACGCAATAAGATTACTGAATGCATTCTTATTAAAACTCACTATAGGTCGTCAAGCTTATTCATAATATATATATATATTTATAAGGCAAATTTCCAAATTGAGTTGGCAACCATGATTACGACACCAGTTTTTTCTCGGATAGTTAAGAAGAACTTTTTTCTTGCAGTCATTCGTCCTGACCTGGTGAATTTTGTGCATTAAATTTAAAGCATTTAATTAACTTAAAGCTGTGAAAAATTTAAAAGACAACCGAAAACGTATAGGAAATTTTTCAATAAATTACAACTTTTCAACGAATTCATTAAATTATTGCAATTACTGAAAGGCCCGTATACATATATATATGTAAATATATATATATATATATATATATATTTATATATGTATATAGATGTGTGTATATATATATATTCATCTATATATGTATATATATTTATACATATATATATATATACATATATATGCATATATATATATATATATATATGTCGGAAGAAAGAAAAAAACTTATTACAAAAAGCATGAGAAATATTCTGAACGAAGATAAAAACGCAAAATTTTAAAATAAAGAAAGGGTAAAAAGAGAACATAGGCAAAAAAGTAATTGTTGAAGAAAGGTGTAGTGATTCCATAATTTCTAATAAAAAAAACGAAAAATTCGTTATCATTTAGGAAACCTACTTATAAATAGCATATGTGTGATAAATTAAAAAGAAATAGAGGAAAAAAACTGAATACCAAAGATATGCGAAATATTGCTAATTAATAGGGAGTAGTGAAAAAGTGAATGTGACCGAGATTTAAAAGAAAGCAAAAAAAAAAAAAAGAAGAAAATGTGTGTGTGCGTATGTCAGACAAATATCATAGAAAAGCAAATGCATATATATTCATTCCAAAACCTTAAATTGTGTTCGAGATATTTAGCTTAAATTTATCATTGAACATAAAGAAACAAATTTATCTCAAAAAAAATTACTTCTTTCATATTTTATTCAAGTGAAAAAATATATGAGAAGTGACGTGTTTTGTTGGTTAGTTAGAAAGTGACAACTAGACTTTGCGTAGTTTAATGCATTGCGTCTGACATAAATTATAAAAAAAATTTTCATAAAATAATAAAAGGTAATACTTACATATATAAAGTTACAAAATAATAAATTGAAAAGATATGTTTAAATTTTACCAAAAATTTAATTTTTGTTTTGAATATTGGGCAGGGTTGCCTTTTAGTAGATTTCCTTGAAATTTGATACCTTTTAATACCCTAAATCGCGAAGAGGAAATTTTGATAATAAATAATTTAAAAATACCCATGGTAAATCTAATCTTCTGCTATGGATCGCTTTATTGCCTAAGATAAGTTAAAATTTCTACAGGAATTCTGAAAGCCTTAAGACACATGAGGTATATGATTTATTTTGCCACGGATGTTTGTGTTAAAAGTCAATATCGGACAACTCAAGATAAGAGTAATGGATTGCTCTATAAATTTTAAAAAACGTTGCTCAAATACTATTACTTTACTTTTGGCATTGCACAAACATTAGAGTAAAATTCTAAATAGTTGGCTTTGTAAATTATAGTGCCATGTTTTGTTGTCAACGAACACGAAGTACGATTAAACGACTAGGTATGAAATTTTTTTAAATTTTGAAGATTTCGGTGTTTCCTTGTTATTCTATTTCAACTCTTAGGATGCAACAATAGTCTGCATTCATATCAATGTTAGCGATTTAGTAATTATTAATCATATGTTACTTATTTGGCATTCAAATGGTGGAAAAGGACAATTGGTAGGATGTGCCTCAGAGGTACTACCCATTTGCTATTAGTATTATTAAAACACTGGAATTAGATCTTAAATTTATAGCTCTGTAAACTTAGAGTAGATTCTGCTTTAATTGTGAATCAACGCCAAGTCTATTCGAATAGCTTTCTAGAGAATTTAATTTTAAATTTGAAACTTATAAAGAGATCGGAACGCAAATTTGTCTTTTAGGATGTAACATTCACATCGATATTGTAGAAAAAAGCAATCTGATAGTTACAAATTTATGGTTGTGTAATTCTAAAACATGAATTAGTCATTTTGTATTGAAATCACAGAGCGGGACACTTGGTAAGATGTATCTCATAGCTTGATAAACCTAATGTGTCCACCGGCAGGAATATCTATATAAGTACATGTTTAGTGCTTATTTGTTTCTCTATAGATATATAGAATCTATTATTTCTTCATTTTTCCTTTCGCAAAAATATCTTCTTGTGTGCAGTAAGACGGGAAAAACTATAATCTAATTTATAAATTTCTTGCCTTCCTCACACGAATTTTTCTTACAAAAACTATTATAGAAAAAGAATTTTTTTTGCGTGCGTTTATCTAACTAAAAAACTTTGCTTTTTATCAGAATTTGTTCACTCGGATTTAGTCCTCAGAGTTTCTTTTCATTTCAAAAATTCAACTCTGCACATAAACTTTTTGTAAAATAGTTTTTACGACATACATATTGCAAATAATATATTTATCTCTTTCTGACCTACGGAGAGGAACATATGCGGCTGAGTTTTTCAATTTCTATGTAAATGAAATGGCGAAAATATTTTGACATGTAAAAAAAAAAAAAAATAAAAAACGTCGTGTTTTCTTTGCAAACGGTGAAATTCTTTCTTCAAAACCAATGTTAGAAAGAAAATATTAAATAAATTAAAGACATTAAAATGCTTTGCAGACGTATTGTTTTTCAGTACGGCGAATGACTCTTAAAATCCATTAACATTAAGTGGAGTGAGAGAAAAAAGAATAATTGTCATACATTCTTCTGAAAAAAATAACTGCTGATACATATGTAGGTGTGCAGCGCAAAATGATTGACAGAAAAAAGGATCATTTAAAAAAAAATGTGATATAAATTTTTTTTTCACACAAGGTGCGTAGTAATGATGTAAAAAAGTAACCTTTATAAACAAAAACAAAAGTAAACGTATTATCCTACAATAGAGTTTTGCGGAGGAAACGTGGACATTGTAGCAACGAGGTCGTGAATACTAAAGTAGATTTTTGTATCCCTCCTATATATATATATATATATATATATATATATATATATATATATATATGTATATATCCATATATATATATATGTATATATATATATATATATATTTTACACCGTTTTATATATAAATGTAAATATAAAACGGTAAGAAAACGCAGTAAGTTGATAGTGAGTAAATTTGTTTGTGGTGTGTAAAATTAAGTTTGCGTTTGTTTATGAAAAACTGTTTTTGCTATACCTGATGTGTGTTTACCGGCTTTAATCGTTAGAGTTGTAAAGGAAGGTCGATATGAATTGAAATCGTGGGAGAAGAGGGAATAACAGAAACTAAAATCAGTCGATTTAATTTCCTACTTTAATGGCATTGGCAGCATCCTTAGGACCGTTGTTGTCGCTTTCGTTGCGGTCGTTGTCGTCATCATCAACATTGCTGTCAGCATTATTGTTGCTGGCATCTCAGTTGTTGTTGTTGCTGCTGCCTTTTCATAACCTTTCGATTTGAAAAAATGAACAATGAAAGTATTAAATCGCCCAAAATTAGTACAACATATTCTACTTCAAACGCAAATACATCTAACGCAACAACAGCAACAGTTACAGCAGGAGCAGGAAGCGGTCACATACATTCAACAACTGCTGTACACGTCAACGCAACTGTTAACGCAATTGAAGCCGCTGTCAATGCCAGTGACAACGGTCACCTGTCAGTTTCGTCATCTAACGCTGCCGCAGTTGTTGCAGTTGCTGTTTCATCTTTGGCTGCAGCCATAATACTGGATACACCAATCGTTTCCATTGCTGGTTCAACATTAAGCGAAATCACTACAACCACTACATCAACCAAGACCACACCGACACCGGTGCCCACCAAAAAAGAGACCAATAATAATCCTAATAGAAATTCTGCTAATTTGAAGAACAACATTAACATTAGCAGCAGCAATAAATCAACCGTTACCGATTTCATTTTATTGCCATCATCGGCGCCATTATCTAAATCATCATTAACTGCTACGGCTTCAAAACTAATGTCGGATGCGAAAACGACAGTTACCGGCGCAGTAAAGAACGCCAATATCACCACCAACAATATTGGTGTTACAGTTGAACCAAGCAGCTTTTTCATACAAAATACGACCACTGAAACCGCAACTACAATTAGTTCTACTTACTCCCCAAAATATATAAATACTACCAACTCTTCCATTAGTGCTCAAAATACTATTAAAAAGGATTCAACTTCCATCAATAAATCAAGAGAAACAAAGGAATCATATATCGATTTAAAAAGTGAACATTCGGCCGCTGTTGCCGTTATTAATACTACTAATACTAGCAGCTATCCAACAGTTGCTAACAGAATCGATGAAAGCAATTCCATTGAATTAAAGTCAAAGGTAAGTGTATTCTAATTATGATTTAATTTCAGTGCTTTTTATTTTAGTCTTCTAATAATAATGGAAAGATAGTGCAGAAATCAATTTTAAACTGCGTACACACATAATTCAACAACAACTATACAAATTTAATGTTAACTTCAAAATCTATAACGTTTGAATTCTGAAATTGAAAATATGATTTCCGTGTCTTCTTCAATCTACTGTGCCTGCCATATAAGCAGAAAATGCTTCTTTTTTTTTTGTTTGTTTATATTTTCTGCTCAAATGCTTACAAAGGTCAGCTTCAACCACACCAAACCTGTGGTGCAAATAAAATAAATCACAAATTAAAGCAGAAGTAATCGAAATAAAAGAACACATTTAAATCAAATATATGCACATATTTATATGCACAAATACATACATGATCATATTTATTTATTGGGGTCTAAAATTTTGTAAGCATTATGTTATTTATTTTTTTTTTTATTAATCATTATTGTTTTTCTTGGTTTTTGTTTTTTGAGGGGTCGCTTATTTTTGATATTTCCAACATACCCACATACTAGCTAGTTCATAATCTCGCCTGCCCATATATCTGCTCATATATATTAGTTTGGGGAAAAAGAAATCCATTATTTTTTCGGTAGATGGCTGCACTGATAGATTTCTCGTAAAGTATCGATCAAACAATTTCAGATTTATGCTCGTTGGAAAGGTGACATTTCGCAGTAAAAAAAATTCTTTTGCTGTTTTTTGTTTGGTGCATTCAGTTGTGAGTTACAGCGTGTTAAAAATGGAAGTGAACAAAGAGAAAATTCGGTACATTTTACAGTTTTTCTTTGACAAAGGCGAAAATGCAAGCCAGGCGGCTAAAATTGTGAATGGTGCTTATGGTTCCGATACTGTAACAGCCAATTATGTGCAATTTTGGTTTCGTAGATTCCGTTCAGGAATTTTTGATGTTAAAGATGCACCTCGCACAGGTAGGCCGGTCGTGGAAAATGTCGAGAAAATCGGACAAATGATCGAAGTTGACCGGTATGTTAGCAGTCGTAACATCGCCCAGGAGCTAAAAATCGACCATAAAACAGTTTTAAACCATTTACACAAAGCTGGATTCAAAAAGAAGCTCGATGTTTGGGTGCCACACCAATTAACAGAAAAAAACATGATGGATCGAATTTCCATCTGCGAAGCCTTGGCCAAACGGAATGAGATGGACCCATTTCTTAAACGGATGGTGACTGGAGATGAGAAATGGATCACATACGATAACCCTGTGCGAAAACGATCGTGGTCAAAGAGCGGTGAAGCACCCCAAACGGTGGTCAAACCAGGACTAACGGCCAGGAAGGTTTTGCTATGCATTTGGTGGGACTGGAAGGGGATTATTTATTATGAGTTGCTTCCATATGGCCAAACGCTAAATTCTGACCTCTACTGTCAACAACTGGACCGTTTGAAGATAGCGATTGACCAGAAACGGCCAGAATTAGCCAACAAGAGAGGGGTCGTGTTCCACCAGGACAACGCTAGGCCACACACATCTACAGTGATTCGCCAGAAACTTCGGGAGCTTGGTTGGGAAGTTTTAATGCATCCGCCATACAGTCCCGACTTGGCACCAAGCGATTATCATCTTTTTCTTGTATTGCAAAATTTCTTTAATGATAAAAAATTGGAATCTAGGGAGCATTGTGAAAATCGGCTACTAGAGTTTTTTGCAAATAGAGACTAGGACTTCTATGAGAGAGGCATTTTGAAGTTACCTTTAAAATACCAACAAATCGTACAACAAAACGGTGCATATTTGACCCAAATCGGACAATCCGAAGCATGTTAAATAAAGTCCTGAAGTTCATATAAAAATAATGGATTTCTTTTTCCCCAAACTAATGCATATAATATATACTACATGATATTTAGTATTCGTTCGTTAGCATTCTGAATGATCGAAGCTTTCGAAAATTTGATTACCGTAAAGCTATTTAATTGTTTATTACTATACATAATTTAGCATTGATTTTAAACACATTTTGCTACGTGCATAAATACGCACGCTAATATCTATTATTATTATTGCTATATATATTCTATATATGAATAAATATAAACGGAATTGATTAAATTTTATTTGCAAAATCGTTCTTGTACTTATTCATATATATTTCATCCAAGTATTTGTCAATGCATTTATAAAATGTCTACACATTCATCAAAGACTCTTCGCCGTATAGCTAGACACATGTTTAGTGTCGGCCTCTGTGTAAATGCATCAATCAGTTCGTTTCTCTTCCTTTTTTGATCGCATTTCTTCTTAGCTGTAAATACATTGTTACATATGTAACAAGCCTATTTGTGGTGCTAAACTCTACTAAGCTCAAATCGCTTCAAAAAAAGTTCAATTGAGAAAGAAATTAAAAAATAATATGTATTGGGTTATGTAGTTTTCTCCGCAAGCATGGTGTTAATGCCTATGGCCAACACTCGCCTGATTGTCTCAAATGAACATGTACTCAAAAGGTGGCATTTCAGTTTCAATGTCTTGTGAAGATAGTTTTCTAACTCTTTGCTCATTTAAAAAGTTATATTGATTTAAAGATGAGTGCAATATCTAAAGAAATCGACTATGTGATGCTCTTTTATTATACAAAAGGTAAATCGGTGTCAAAAGTAATGTTGGTAACTCTACGGTAAAAATGCTGAAGTGAACGAAGACATCTAGAAGTGGTTTGAGCGATGCCGTTCCGGAAATTTCGATGACAAAGATGCCCTTCGCTCTGGTCGGTTAATGACTGAAAAACTCGATTAAAAATTCTGCAAGTGGTGGAGCAAAACCGGCACGCGAGCTGTCAGAAATCAACCACCTGACAACTTGAAGTCATTTGAAAACAGCAGGCTACGAAAAGAAACTCGAAACCACAGAAAAAACTGCAATGTCTTTCTACATGACCCAAAAATATTTTTGATCCTAGCTAAAGTTATAATATATTTTAAGCATTGTCACTTCCTTATTTGGATAGCTTACCTGCGGTGTTGCCTCCTTGATTCTATGATAAAAAACATAACACAGTTCGTCGATTGACAAATGCTGGGAAATTTAGATGTGTTCATGGATTTAGGGAAATTATTCGATCAACGACTATATTTTAATCTGCTAAGACTAAGATCGGCGATCGCCAATGCTCGAATAGATATTACTTTCAAAATCAATTTCTGCTTTTTGCTCTTAGAAATTTAATTTTGACCCGCTTGTCTGTTTACCTCCTTATCAACATAGATTGCTTTCGTTAGCGCTACCGTCACTTGAGAAACGCAGATTTGTCGTTGCTGTTTCCTTCTTTTAATTCAATTTATCAATACTACGTACTATCGATTCGTCAACTTTACTTAGTAAGATAAACTTCAAAGTGCGGAACCGTTTTTCTTATTTTCATAAAACTGCTAATATAAATAGGTAATTATGAGCTTTTCAATCCGGTTGGAGCCTTTTTCAAAAATCTAAATTATATCTATAATTTAACGCCAATATTGGACTCTCTAAATTCTGTCTATAAGTCAACTCTCCTAATTGCGCATGTTTTCTCTATGTGCCTACATTAATTTGTAATCTTGATATCGTCCTACGATTCGAAAATTGCAACTACATTTTCTCACTACTATCGGTTACCAAGTTTTTGCATGTTTTCAACGGCTTAATTGTTCACAACCAACTCGTACTTTATACCGGCTGCGGTTGTACATGTTTATTTTTTCTTTTTTCTGCAAATAAATAAATAAATTCGTGGCAGGCGGCAAGCCCATGTCAATATCACTCGCAAACTTATCGCGATAAAGCGAGCATGTTCCTTCTATAGTATTTAATGGCGGACCGTAACCCAATATAATGTTTTTACTATTACCAATTAAAAATTTGTCATTTTTCTTTGTTAGAGAAGTGAACTTTTTTATCCGAATATGCGCAAACCAGACAAAACTAAAATATTTTTCAATTATTTTATGCATTTCTCTAGCTACATATATATGTGTACATTTTCTTGTTTTTATTCAAATTTGCACTTACGCTGCTCGCGACAGTGGCTAATCGAATATGTAAGAATCTCAACTAGCAAGTCCTTGTGCACAGGTTCAAATATCAATGCGGCAGTGTTTACGTTTAATTTACTCGCTTCTTTTCGACCGACTTCATATTATACGTATAGCGAAATCCCATCAAGAATGGTTTCGGTGTTGCCATTTTTTGATATTTTACGAAAATAAAAGCTTTTTTGTCAACACTTCAATAAAAGAATTATGAGCAAACACACTTTTTTAAGATCCTGCAGCGGCTTCACATCTTGGGACAAGAGAAACAGTAAATCAAACTCAAGGCAGCATAGGGAAAAGGCTGAATTCACACGACAGCTGAAAAGACTTAAAATAGAAAGTAAAACCTCATGCAGGTATAATTGCTTTAATACGATAATACTTGTTGCAAAGCAAGGTATTGAAAGACATCAAATAAAAAAAAACCGTTGTTAATTACAGTACCTACAGGTTTTATTCTCAGAAAATTTATCAGCTGACAAAGGCATTTTTTTTATACTGAACTAAGGAAAATGTCATAAAACGCAGCCGTATAAACCCATCTTAAAGTCTTGAAGTAATAAACATATATTCTTGCAAATTTTCGTGGATTATAAAGAGTTGGTAATGAATAGGCCATTGCCAATCTTCTTAGGCTTTTTGCTTTAAGGATAACAATTTCTAACGAAATTTTGTCTTTGTTTAGCGTTTCGTAGAAAATCATTCCGTGTAGTTTACCCAACCAAACTCGTTTTAGAAATTTTCCTTTCATTATATCCTTGTACACATAAAATTTAGCAAAGAAATTCTCAATTTTCCTAAACTCTACTTAAGTTGTAGTGAAATAACTATCAGCTGCCAAATGTTGGCAATGATTCATTGTCAAATGTTTTGTTTAAATATATGTTTTTCTAGAAATCCCTACGTAATAAAGATTTAGAAAGTTTTAT